GTTGACTAGAAGTGATCAAATTTTTGAACATGTAAATATTTACTATGGCCCTTCTTTTATCTACACTTGCATAGCAAATATAAACGGTGACCTTTTCTTATCTGGGCTCGCACAGCAAATATAAAAAGGAGTGCTCCATGACTTGTTTTCTGTGTGTATAGTTCACAGTTGTATCAGTTACATAGATAATAGAGGAGCAGAGATCAGCATTACCATCGCTCAGCAGTGACCCAAAATCCATAAAAGCCTTGGAAGGATAACCTGGCATTCAGCAGCCTATTAAACTTCTCAAATCACACAGATGATATACCCAATATATTTTATCCTAACATTTCCCTAGAACTATAATTTCTTTCAAAGGTCGCACACTAGTAGTGTGTTTTTACCATGCAGTGTATTGTGATTTTTGGTTCAATGACCCCCTCTTTTTAGGAAATAGCTGATAGTTTAATAGTTTAGTAAGATTGCTTGTGAGTTAAATGTTCTAGTAGCTTCAGAGAGTGTAAGAACATCTCTTCATTATTTGTACTAATTAAAAAAGGGCAGCTTTAAGATATTTATCAAGATTGTAACTACAGACATATTCAGCTGAAAGGGAGTTGTCTTTTATTCTCTCTGCTTTTTCTTGATAATAATGTGAATGCCCCAGACGAGCCAATCATCCTGCTAACTTCCATTTTCAAGTAGTGTCACCATGGAGTAATTTGGCCCTTGGATGTAGATTTAGCTATTGCATACAGTTTGCAGTGATGTATGTAACTAAAAGGCTCTTGAAATATTTTAGATTGTTGCTTACATGGTCAGGTTTTAGACAATTCTCTTTGCAGGAAAACCCCCTGAAACTGTCACGATGTGTGTAAATCCTTATATAAGCAGCTTTCAAACTGTAACTTGACCAACAAAAGGCAATATAAAAGAAAGACAGTAACTGCCAAGCAGAACACAATGATATTAAGGGAAGTGAAATAAACGTAACTGATGGAGAACTTGACGTTGCAGGGAAGTGAGAATGGGGGGGTTTCTGTACCTGTGAGCTTGTATGCAAATTTCTTCTGATCACATTTGATCATGTATATTTGAACTTAACTTCCCAGGCCTCTTTTCAAACAATCATATTTTACATGGAAGTCACCCATTCAAATCAGGTGGTTAAAAAGAGGGACACCCATTTAGGACTGGGGAGTACACTAGGCACGTATACTGTTTTCCTCCTACCCATCTAATTTCTTTAACAAATGCAGCCAAGAGTGAGGTGTCGGTCGATCTGGCAGAATCCAGGCATTGCTTCCCTGAAACTCAGGCCTTTCACAACCATGTTTGTTCGCTGCTGGTAGCCTCCCACTGTCAGTCACTATTATCCTAGCACTCACCAAGTACTCTGATAGTCCTAATATAGAGTGAAGTGTAATGAAGAAAGAGAAATGAGGTTGCACTAACAGATAATGAACCAGTATTAAATGTGTAAATGTTATCAGTTCATCATCTCTTATGTCATAAAACAAACATTGTTCAATCACAGACGCCTACTCATTCGAATCAGTTAGCTCACTTCTTTTAAGAGCAATATCAATTTTAGACCATTTGTAAACTCTATAAACTCTAACTAGGTCCAAAGCTTTCTTCAATATTGATTTTTGAGCTTGTTATTTCACAATAACACTCCACTGTTTCAGATTGAATCATTAGTGCACAGTTAGAATGACAAGTTAATGATTTTATGTTTTACTTGTACTTAAAATTACGTGTTAGTTGGTCACTGCTGCTATTAACAATGACATACTAAAGAACAGTTAGGTAATTTAGCTTCTATTGAAATCACTTTAAATGAATGAAATAGCCATTAATGCACGTTAGTCCCTCACTTTTCTAATTGCTTTGTGGCTTTGTGTTGTCAGTCAAACAAGGCTTAACAGGATTTGTTCTCATGCCTACCTTGTCCTTTTCTGTCATCCAAACAACTGTTACACCAAACACAAACTCATGTAATGTACACCACGGGCTGTGGTGATGTAATGGTGTTAGCATCAGACTGAAGACACTCATTCTCAACACCAGTACAGTGCAGGTACCAAGTGTGTTTGTGACTTTATGTGTTAATAATGCAGCGTCATCCTCACCTCACAGAGCATGGAAAAATCTTATTAGTGTGTACTCTCTGTGTGACACACACACACACACACACACACACACACACACACCCTTACGAGGTCATGCTTGTATGTAGTAAGCATTTTTATTATAAAACACACACAGACACTGACACTCTCCTTTATCCTGTGTAAAGGATGAATGCCACTGAACCTGTTTGACTGGATAGTTGTCAGTCACATTTACAAGCACCAATGAGTCTCCTGCATCAACACACATCTGCATGCACAACAAAAGACTGGGCCATTTCACAACACAGAAACTAAAATATGTTGTTAAAGACACACAGACATACAGTATGTGCACACACAAACAAAACTGTGCATCAAAACACACAGCAGTAAAATGTGTCAGGATCACAAACAATAATACCACATCTTTTAAAGTTATTCTTACACACAAACACTGCACTAGAACACATACAGCACTTACATATACACATGGAGACATACAAAATAACATTACAGTGCGTAGACACAGACAACTACTAACACATGTTGTCATATACAATTTCAGTAGGAACCTGATATCAGAAATGTGGAAATCCCGTCACAAATGAGGGATCTCTGAGAGTTTTCTTTTTCACCTTACCTGGACAACTCTCTGGGAACTGTTCAGTTGTCAAACTCTGTGTGCGTCTCGTATCCAAAACATGTAGTTTGCTGTCCCTTCCAGCCACATAAGTGTAGACTTGTAAGCCAAACTCAAGTCCACCATCTCAGATTTCATGTGTTAATAACCAATCTGCAGCACATAGTGATGTCCACAGGCAGACACATCTCCAGTGAAGATAATGATGACGTTAGAGTCTCTGTTTCTGTTTTGCTATCACCAGCACGGTGTGTTTTCTCACTCGTGTCTTTCCTCCTCTCTCTCTCTGTCTCGCTCTCTTTCTCTCTCTCACACTCTCTCAGGTTGGCCACACCCACCCCTCTAACACTTTTTCCTTGTCACCCTTATCACCTGCACACACCTTGCAGTCAGTATTGTATTTGGGTATTTGTGTATTTGTGTGTCACTGTTCATATTTCTTTGCATGTGTGTCGTGTTTCCAGACAGCTGTCTGTATCTGTAAACTTGACAGACTTACTAAGTCTAAGTGGAGGGGTAACAACTTGCACCCATGATGCATTTTATGTCGTATCTCGTGATGGTCGAGGTGCAATATCAAAGCCAAAGAACCTCCATCCAAACAAACTTATGCACTTTAATCTATAGTATAGAAATAAAACAGTTGTTTTCTTGTGTCAACTTAGGCAACTTAGAAAGAGAACTAGAAGTAACAAAGGGTAAAATGTTGAGAAAACTGTTTTAGACACAGAGATAATATTATATCCTTGGCTCAGAGAGTTTTTTTTAAAGGTTATTTTCTAGATCCTCCTGATAAAAAGTATAAAGTAAATAAGTACTGAAGCTGCTATTGTGTTGAAATGTTGCAACAGTGTTCAGAGGTACAGTACTGGTGTTGAATAATCATGACTTTTCACCTGCTGGTTCCACCCTCTTCCCTTTTAAAAGTCAAACTAGTGATAGCTGATAGCACTATGGTCAGGTTTCACCATAGCCACCATATTTGTCTTTATCCATCTAGATCTAACATGTTTTCACTAGAGGAATGTATTTAAAGCTTCACTGGTTCATATAATTGCAGCTTTTGTGTCGTCGTTTGTGTAGTGAGCTGGTGGTTACAAATATAATCCATCATACAAAGGCCACTGATTTAATGATCACAGCAGCCAGTGTTTTAGCTATCTGTTCTGTTTTCCTTTAGGAAGACACTGAAACTGTGGTGATGGCTGTGGTTTGAAACATTAGCTAAATCAGTCTTGATCTCCTCACTGTATTGTTATGTTAACTTCTTTTCTGGTTTAAGCCTCCGTAGGATTTATCGCAGAAAAACAGAGATACATATGTGATAAATCCTATATACATGGTGTTCCCCATTTTTCAGAGATTTGTGCACAATGTTCGGATATGATTTTGTATTTTGGTTCTTATTGTGTGAAAGCTTTTTGTCTTACTTAGTTTACCAGAATGTTTAAATAATCCTCACAGTGCAGGAAATACTTAACTCTTGCTGTTTGGTGGCTTAAATTTGTCCATTTTCAGAATCCATAGTAATCTTAATGATCAAGTTTTCCATTGCTTCATGTTTAAACTATAAACTATGAACCGACAACACGCCCAGGAATACCATCTCTTTCTGTGAGGGGAATTTACGCCGGGCCAACTGGAAAAATACAGGGAAATAAGAGACTTTCAGTAGAAATGCCGGCTGTGTATACTTGATGAGAGTATAGTTGGCGCTTTCTGACAGGGACACCGTGTTAACTGTGTACACTGCCATGTGTTTCCTCTGATAAGAACAAAGTCACCCGTCTTTTCACCTGGCAGCAGGAGCTTCACTGACAGTAAATAACATACACCGAAGATTACGCTGCCCCTCAGATCACACCCATTTCCACACAGGTGCTCTGAACAACCAGTAGGAGTTGCTAGTGCAACAACAAAGAAATGATTCCTCACTGGCTCCTCACATGCAAACAGTGTGGCTGTGTTTGATGGAGCTCCAGGTCAAGTCAAAAGCAGTGCAGCCAGCCATGGACTGACCCAGGCCTCCACCACCCGGGCCCCCCATGTCTCTTTAGATGTTGAGCAGTAATTATTTGGTACAGTACTTAGATTCATTTTGAGATTTCTGGCATTTAGTCTTTGTAGTTCACAGCTGACTTAACTTCACAGGAGTGGGTATGGGGGGGGGGAGGCTGGGGGGGCTGGGGGGGTTGGGTTAACCCCAGCTGGATCTAGTTTACACCATGTCTGAATATGTGTGAGAGAGTGTGAGTGTGTGTATGTGTTTGTATGGGGATCCATGCATGTGTATGTCTATCCTTGTGTGGCAATGTAGCGTGCGTGTGTGTGTGTGTGTGTGTGTGTGTGTGTGTGTGTGTGTGTGTGTGTGAGTGTGTGTGTGTGTGTGTGTGTGTGTGTGTGTGTGTGTGTGTGTGTGTGTGTGTGTGTGAGAGAGAGTGTGAGTGTCCTGGCTGGGCGTCCAGCGCGGTCCTGGTAATGCTGAGACAGACGGTGAGCGGGTGGGTTTATTTTTGGGTCAGTGACAGTGTGTCAATGGCCGCAGATGCGTCGGAAAGGAAGGCTCTGAGATACAAGCAAACCCTGGTCAGTGTCCCTCGCTTGTTCTTCTTATTCCTTCTGTCTCTGTTGCTCCTTCTGTCTTTCTGTGTCCATCTGTGTATCCGTCAGCCTGTCTCTGTCGTGTTTATTTTAGTTGTGTGTCAGCAGTTTATTTCACTCGTGTCATTCTTGCATGACGCACCTGTATTGGTGGTGCATGCTACATGTGCATGGATGGAGCCCGTCTAACTTATTGTGTCTGTGAATGAGCCATGTACTCTGTGTGTGTGTTGTGTGTGTGTGTGTGTGTGTGTGTGTGTGTGTGTGTGAGTTCTAGACATGGTGAAGACCAATTAGCTGATGTATAACAACAGGGTCACGCACATGGTCACGCAACAGGTGCTTAGATACTGTGCACCTCCTTCACCCCTGATCTTTTCATGCTCATATACACGCGCACAAACACACGCACATACACACTTTGTTGCTGTCTTGCTTGTCTTTCCTTCTTTCCCGACCGGCCACCTGTTTGCTACCCTTTCTGCGCCTCGTTTCTTAAGCCATGGTTGGTCTTAACACATGTAGGAAGGACTTTTGTGATATGTGTAACACTGTATGTTTGCATGTTTGTAAGTGTGAAAGTGTGTGTCCTTGCATATACACCCGTGTCCATCTACAGAATTTGTGCATTCATATTTCTACACATGTGCTTTTGTGTTAATACCTCGGCGTGTGTGATTGTGTGTTCATTTGTTTGTGTTGGGTGCTTGTCCATGTGTGTTCCACAGAGGGGAAACCTGATCATGCACTTGCAGTGGTGCTAATCTCCACCATTCATGTAGTAACATGCATGTTATTGGAACAAGCGGACTGAGTGGTGTCTCAGAACATCTGGGGGATTTTTTTCATCATGGCTTTGAGATGTTCTGAAAAACAGAAACACTTGTGATACCATACCCCTGAAATAATTCCTTGTTGTAAGTACAGAGTTTACATTAAACAGGTTCCTCTGGTGCTGATTACAGAATATGCTTCCACAAACAGAAATTGAAGAGAAAAAGTGAAAAAAGTGCGAAACAGGAGCGTGCTGCAGATCAGCCAGAAACTAAATGTTTTTGCTTAATCCAAGATAAATACAAATTTGATCTTTATGTCCTTAGTCTAAATCATTGGGTCACGGATATTTTACTTTAGTCTTTATTTGTTCACACAATTAAAATATCATGGACAGATGTACAATAATGGAGCTCAGTTGATATGTGTAGGGGACAGTCTCCTCTGGAACGAGAGGTTCGCTTTGGGGGCAATGTCCAGAGAGGATTATAATTATATAAATAAATATTTTCACTGACAGTAATAGCCACAGCCTAACTGCATCTGTGTGTTACCGACCAAGCCACCCCCTCTATAAACACTGCAGGCGGAGGAAAGCCAAGGGGCAAAAGAAAATCATTAACATCAGAATCACAGATCACTTTGCACTAGGGATTGGACGATGATATTATCGCAATATAAACTCTGATTTATGGTATTATGATAAGCATGCATGGGCATAATTTATGAATATCCTCACATGGCTTGACTGACTAGCTTGCCAGCATACAGCCTTTTATTGATTTCCTGATTTACTTTAAACACGGGGACAAGGGGGAGCCTGCATCTGTCCAGTCATTCCAAATTCAAAGCCTGTCACCATGGCTGAAGGCTCGGCTTGTTAAACTGGATGTGTGGAAATAGTATATATTCCAAAATAAAGAACAGGGAGATACATGGAAAGTATATGTGTTTCTTAACTAAATGTATGGTAAGGTGAGTCCATATGTTTTATATATAAATATATTTTTTCATGATTATCGTGATAATAGTGTGTATTGCGATTATTTTGGCCAATATAATTACGACATGAGAGCTTCATATCGTCCCATGCCATACTTTAAAGCCTCATGTTGTAGCCATGTGTTTCTTTTTGCCTCCCACCAAAATCTTTTTGATATTTGAAGCTTCAAGAAAAGTTCTGCATTTCACAATCTGGCAAAGATAATTTTAGAAATACACAAACAATGTTTAAACCCCGAAAAACTCAATTTGTTGTGAACTATTCAGAAATAAAGTTGTATTCCACACTAAAATCCTCGGAGACTAGTCCACACAGCAGAGCCTCTGTGGTGTTGATTTGCTGGTATGTGTGTGCTGGTGATCATGGTGACCTATAGAATTTAGTGGTTGTTGAAACCTTATGCCTAAGGGTAGTCCAGGAAGTGCAAAGTCATCTAACCTGTGTATGTGTGTGAGTGCACTGTTGAAGGCTATGTGCGCTGTGGTAACCCTTATGTTTACACTGGCCCTCGTGAGAGTGGGGCTATAAACAGGAGGGTCATGTCACTCTTTATTTAATTTGGTTTTTGTGTCATTTTAAGTGTCTCATCTCTCTGCACTTGCCTGTTTGTGTGTCGGTGTGTGGTTAAATCTGACACTGTAACTTTAAGGCATACTGGGTAAAAAACCCTGCAATATATAGGCTAGACTCACACAAACAATCCCTCTCAATCAACACTAATGAGTGACCTACTAGAAGTGTGGGTGTCTGGATCTGCAGAGACCTTGCCCTCTCCCTGTGTTTTCCTTTCTTTTCTTTTTTTGCTGTAATTTTTTCCCGCTGTTTGTGATGATTTGTGGCTTCAACCTTTGGGGCGTTGTGTGAGGTCTGAGGTTGGAAATACGTAGCGAGCAGATTGCTGTCTCTGTCTCTCCCCTCTGTTCTCCACCCTAAAACAAAGTGTGGAGATGAGAGGTGCATGTGAGACTGTGAATGTATAAAGAGCTGCGGTCTGTGTGTCTGTTATGCGGAGGTGCTTTAGAATGTAACTGCTGTAACAATCAGAAAATAATGATTTATTTCTCTGACACACTGCTTTATTAACAGCAACTGACAAAATCTGCATAGTTTGCCTTTGACATACATAAAATACAATAAATAAGTAAAAACACCTACTACTACTACTAAGGGGTGAGTATTGGCAAGAACCTCGCGATACGATACGTATCACGATACTTTGGTCACGATACGATACGTATCACGATATCACGATATATAGAGATGAAAACACAAGTACCTGTATATGCACATCAGATGATATTGATCTGAGGACAAATTGAGTCAAAGCTATTTCATTCAAAACAGCCTCTCCATTTTATTAATTTATTAATTATTAATTTCCTTTTATTAATTTACCAGAACATGGACACCAGTGCAGCAGCTGTGTTGTTATTGCTTGTGGCTCATCTAAACAAGCTCAATGTGAAATAATAATGTTTTTCTACAGAAACACTAACATTTCAAGTAATTCCGTTATTGCAAGTCTTACATTTCAATAATATTTTTTGCCTATTTCAATTTCAACAAGTGCTGTTGCGTTTTTCTCAAGCCACCAGGGGCCACCAGGGGCCTCCAGGGGCCACCAGGGGCAGTGGCAGTCTAGTGTTACTGTTAGCTACATTAGCCTATTTAGCAAACAAAACTTTACATTGCACGCACAGCAACACCGTGCAATGCATAAATTGGTGACCGGACTAAAGCAGCAATGTAAACAAGTGTGTAAGAGGACATTAAAACGACCAATATGGGTGCAGCCATCTTTGTTTTGCGAATCGTACGTGCCCCCCATTTAGCTCGGTGAACTCTGAGGAGCCCCGAGTGGGACGGCTGAAATTAATATCTCGGCGTGGTGTCTTGCTAGGTAAACTCGCAAGTTCATTGTGTTCCCACAATATTTAACGGCAGCAAGACACGGCTTACAAACGACATTATCTTTATCCAGCTCGTTGTTCTTACGATCTTTTTTAACTTGGAAGCCAAAGTGCTTCCAAACGTCGGCTTTAAACTGCGGAGGCGTTGTTATTTTGATAGACATTTTGGAAAGTCCTCAGCCACTCTCTCTAATACAGAAATACATGCGCCGCACAGCAGAGTCGCTCTTTGGCGCCATCTACCAGAGTGGAGGTACGGAAGTCGTACTGTATTCACAAAGCGTCTGAACATGAATCATTATTCTTTAAAAAAATCGGTCTTTGGAGTTGAAAAATCGATATTGTATTGGGCGGCAAAGTATCGCGATATATTGCCGTATCGATATTTTTACCCACCCCTACTACTACTACTCTCTGCTACTACTACTACTACTACTACTACTGCTACTACTTCTACCACTACTACTAGTAATAATGATACTATCACCCCCCCCCCCCACTGTATCGCAGAAGGCGGAGTGATACAAACACAGGGCACGTTGCCAGAGCGCCGGCAGCCATGTAGAGAATGTATGGAGTTAAACCCTTCTCTATTTTAGAAGACCTTCATATGCATTAGGTTTGACTTCAAATGACAGCTTATAACGGCATGCACTCACATTCAGCTGTACACACGTAGTTCTGTACGTAGTGTAGGTATGTGGACATCAGAGTGACAAATGACGTTCAGTGGATTTCGTTCTCACAATGTGGTATGATCCAGTTTGGAAAAGGCATCATCACCATGTCACCATCACTACGACGTCAATAAATATCGCTAACTGTCTGCTGGTACAAGAGTGACAGTTGACAGTTTGTAATTATGATATCACAACAGTAGCCAGGTCAACGAAAAAAAGAAAATACAAATGAATATGCGTTTCCATCCACTGCTGTTGTGTAAATTAGGAGGTAGTTCATCAGGATAAACAGCTGGTGGCACTGATTGTCATGTTGGGTAATATGTGTCACAGTCACAGTGGCTCTATGTATCTGTACGTGTGTGTGTGTGTGTGTTCTTTGGTGCTTATAATAATAATTTGCATGCTATACGGCGGGCCCACACTTTGATTTATATATGTGTTTACTGATGCAGGTATTTGGTTATGGTTTTTGTCTGTATTTTATCTTGTCTCTTCGGGTAGAGGGTGCATTTGATGTCGACTGAATTAGCATCCAGTAAAAGCAGTGTTTTCTTTGTAAAAAGAATTCCAGGTTTTATTTTTTATTTAAATAACCGAGCCTTTCTGAGTTAATTAAATAACTTGCATAAGGTGATGGCCAGAACATATACTATAGGCTTCGGTTTTTGTAGAATCTTTTTTTTATATTTCTCAACGTATTGTATTGAAAAATGCTTCTATGTTAATTCATAACCTCGTTTGTATTGGCACAAGCATTTAAAATGTCAAATGATAAACATCAAGACTGCAGAGGAGTACATGAGTGAGGTACTGAATCCTTCCATGGGGTTGCTGCAGTGAACTGGATCCTCCACTAGGTATAATATATGTAAATCAGCAGCTTTAACTGTAAATTGGCAGATGCAGTCAGCTGGACTATTGGGGAACTCGACTGTTGCTAGTAGTTTTATCCATTTATATTTCCTTTCCATGAGTCCTTGAGGCACTAAAAGACAACTGGAAGGACAGAGACATAGAAACGGAGGAATATGATGAGGCATTGAAAGGTACACTGATGGTGAGAGAGAGGGAGAGAGGTGTGGGAAGTGTAATGAGGAATATTGGATCACATCGGTACTAAATTTAGCCCCGAGTAGTGTTTCAACGGCAGAGAGAGAGAGAGAGAGAGAGAGAGAGAGAGAGAGGGGGGAAAGAAAGGAAGGAGAGCAGAGGGGCAACGAAAGGAAGGAGGTAAATGAGTACAAGTGATTAGTGCAGAGTAGAGTTTCACTGGTCAAGAGGAAAAACAGGAAGGAGAAGTGGAAAGAGGTAATGGAGGGGACAGTGTGGGAAGGATGGATTTCTAACAACATAACATGCTCTGTGGTGGCCATGTTGGGGGCCCTCCTGTCCTGGGTTGCATGGTAGTGGACAGCTGATTGTATTTCCAAACATACAAATCAGATAGAGATGTTCAGTTAATGTGGTTTTGGAGAAGTTATTATGTCGCCACTTCCATTACAGTGGCTAGTTGACAATAATATCTTTGTTGCAATAAACATATCTGATTCCAACTTAGCTTGTATTTCTATAGATAGCATTTGTACTCATTACTGTGGCACATTTTACTTATCTCAACAACCCACAAACAAATATTTACTATTGATTGTTCTTGATCATTGCTTACGAGTGTGTGCAACCCTACTGCTCCTGGTCTTATGTTGCTTTGATAATGTAGCCTGTTGCCTAGTTAGATAGTGATCTACAGTTATTATTTGGTTTGTGGAAACAAATTGTTCTGTTTATTGCGGATTTAGCAAACAGTGCAGGTGTTGTTTTCATTGAAGTAGTTCTTATTAATCCCATGTACATTTTTAAGTATGCAAGGTAAAAATATACCGACCAGCCATAACACTGTGAGCACTGACAGGTGGAGTGAATTACACTGATTATCTGGTTATCATGGCTCCTGTCAGTGGGGGGGGGGGGGGGGGGATATATTAGGCAGCAAGTGAACATTTTGTCCTCAAAGTTGATGTGTTAGAAGCAGGAAAAATGGGCAGCGTGAGGTTCTGAGCGACTTTGACAAGGGCCACATTGTGATGGCTATATGGTCAGAGCATCTCCAAACCTGCAGCTCTTGTGGGGTGTTCCCGGTCTGCAGAGGTCAGTCTATCTAAAGTGGTCCAAGGAAGGAAAAGCTGTGAACTGGAGACAGGGTCATGGGCGGCCAAGGCTCATTGATGCAGGTGGGGAGTGAAGGCTGGCCCGTGTGGTCAGATCCAACAGACGAGCTACTGTAGCTCAAACTGCTGAAACAGTTAATGCTGGTTCTGACAGAAAGGGGTCAGAACACATCACAGTCTGTTGCATATGGGGCTGCATAACATTATGACCACCAGCGTGCCCAAACTAATGTCATAATGTCATAATGTTATGGCTGATTGGTGTAAATGTGTGACAGGCATAACCTATTGTAATTACACACAAAGAATTGTGAGCATGGAAGTTCATTCTTGACCATGAATTGTAGTAAAGTTGCGATTAGCTTGTAAATGGACCTTTTGAATTGAGATTTCTTTGTCACACACAGACTTTAAGATCATATCATTACAGGTAATTTATGATAAATAGATTTGTTCTCACGTTTGAACTGTAGATCAACTTTCAGATTAAAAACCAATTGCCCTGCAAGCCAATGTGTATCAGCATGAGGGCCCTGTATACTTTTTTGTCTGTATGTTTGTTATACGGTTGCCAAGAAAGTCATTTTTCTGTGAATGAAACATTTTCTTGAGTCTAAAGAAGAATTGGTGCAGTGTGGTTACTCAAGGTGTGATGTTGACAGTGTATCATGTGTCTGTCTGGTATTATGTTATTGTAAGGTGATAGTTGTCTCATTCCAGTGCGTTTGTGTGTGCTCTCTGTGGGACATGAGCTTTCAGGACATCTATGATTCATGGAGGGTCTTTTTTTGAAGGGTCTAATCTCAATTTATAAAAAAAAAAACCTTAGTCTTACCTAAGTATATTGTTGCTTAGATCAGCCAGGGTATGCTGCATGTTACATTCAACATTAAACACTTGAGCATGGCCTTCTAAATCAAGACATCTGTGGCTTTTATTGTTTGAGTCTGTGTTGTGTGTTGGCATTCAGTTACAGCACATTGTGTATTATGCTGCTCAAGTTTCACTGTTCATTGAATGGCATCTCTGCTCACACACCAGCACCTTGCGTACATAATGTGTGTGTGTGTGTGTGTGTGTGTGTGTCTAAATCCATACATCCATCCATCAATCTGTCATTCCATGAACCTGCTAAATTAGAAGCTGTTGAAAGGTTACTGCTCGGACATCCAAAGTGTCAGCACTGGACACAACTTACCAGCTTGCCAGTTGTGTTCCTGGAGTTCTATTGTCTGCTTGTTGATGTACCAAGAATATACATGAGCCCTGATTGAATGTTTGTGGCTTCAGTAGTGTGGATCAATAAATGCTTTGTGATTAATTGTGATTCTGAGTAGTGGAAATTAGAATGAAGGCTTATAGTTCTGCACTGACATTTGATTTTATGGTAATAAAATTAATTAACATGAAATATGAAATCTACATATCACCTTTTACTGTCAGATTTGAACCTTTATGACTTTGGTGACCTCTGGTGTCCCTACAAAGTATAGTCATTTTACTGTAGTTGGCAAGAGGACTTTGCACTTAATATAATTTGCATAACATTTCACCATAAAAACATGGCACCACTTTTAACAGTTATAACCTCTATCCTGTGTTATTTTATGAATTATTTAATTTAATGAATACAATACAAAACAAATAGCAACTTTCACTAGTGTGTGTGTGTGTGTGTGTGTGTGTGTGTGTGTATTATTATTATTTTCTTCCTAAAATGTATGTCTTTTATTCTTTAAATACCAATAATAGCACCCCCAACATGAAACATGTCCGTTTCATTCCCCCGTGTTTCCAAACTACACCAACAAATCGTGCACAGCAGTTATCAGTTGTAAGAGTGACTGTATAATATCGCTCCCACACTCATCCACCTGACTCATCCAAAGCTAAAGTGCACTCTAGTTAGTTTCATACCTGCACACTGTAATATGTAAGGGGTTGTATGCTATGTTTTTATTATAAGAAAACATGTGATATGTTATGAGGCTTTTGTTGGAAGTATGTAGGATATCTTGTGTTTGATGAATCAAATGCAAGAGGGTCTTCTCCACATATCCTACTAAAAGAGATATTTGCGCTGGTGAGGGAAAGAAAGCGAGACAGACAGAGAGAGAGACAGAGAGAGAGAGAGAGATGTGAATTAATATCTTCCCCAGATGTCCCAGGCAGTTTTCATGGAGTCTGTCCAGAGGTGATAAATCTAGAGGCAGAGCCCATGTTTCCGCTTCCATTAGAGCCGTTTGGGTCAACACGTGGTCCTGTCTATTTTTAAAATGGACTCTTCTCTGCCAGGATGCCAAAAGAAGAGTACTATCACACTCCACATTCTCACTTACTCAGGAACTACCTGTACATGTTTACGTCTAAATGAATGAATGCATTCATATGATTCATTCTCGGGTTTCTGTGCCAATTGGTTAATGGATTGATTTACTGATTGATTGACAGCTCTATGGGGAGTACCAAGAGCATCAGGGAGGCTCTGGCAGACGGGAGGCCACACGCCTGCTGACAGAGAGACAGATCAAGAAACATGGCAACCATCCTCGCAGCCATGGGAGGCCTCGACATGGCCGCCGTGGCCACGGTCAAAATGGATTCCACAGTCGACACGGACATCAGCACGGCTATCACAGCAGACAAAGGAACAGGCGTCAGTCCAACATGGAGACAGAGGCCGCTGATGAGCAAATGGATGAACCCAACCATACCTCTACAAACAAGAGACGCTCCTTCTCCAAGTGTAGAGGTTAGTAATCCTGAGGAAAGACCAAAAAGTAGGTAAATAGATGCTTTTTTTACTCTTTTTTTTTTAAGCGCTTTTGTGGTGTTTGGTTTTGTCAGACTGTATAGCACGGGTCCAGCGATTCCTTGTAACTAGGCTGGGAGAAGACTGGATCTTTCTTGTTCTGCTGGGCATCACAATGGCACTGGTCAGCTGGACGATGGACTATGCCAGCGCAAAGAGCCTGCAAGGTAGGGCTACAGAACCCGGTGCATTACAGAAGCCTTTACCTTCCGTCTCCTGCTTCCATCTTCCTTTCTCCCTTTTTCTTTTTGTCTATTTTCTTACTTTCTCCTGAACTTCCTGCTAGTCATTTCTTCTTTTTCTTTCTTCTTTTGCTTTACCGTTTCCCTTGTTTCTTCTACCTTGTGTCTTTTTCTTTCCCCTTCCCTCCCTCGCTCCTTCAGCCTATAAATGGATTCATGGGGAGCTGAAGGGGAATATCCCCCTGCAGTACCTGGCCTGGGTTTCATATCCCCTGATCTTCATCCTCTTCTCCTCCCTCTTCTGTCACCTGGTCGCTCCTCAAGCTATCGGTCTGTACCCCCCTTTCCCCCTCATGCCTATGTTCTCATGCTGCTCTGTGCTCATCTGCCTTTAGTCTCTGTTAGAATGTCTCAGAGGTATTACTTTAAGTAAATTAAGTTATCGACTAAGGCTGTGTGATGTGCAACAATCTGCTATCTCTATGTTCTGTACGTTCAGTGACTAGTTTATAGTACACGACCACATGGAAAGGCTTATTTCTTATTTTGAATTATGTACTCGACAAATAAAATGTACTGACATATATGATTATTTTACTACTTTTATTTTGAACCTTTAGCAAATTTTCAATTAAGCATGTAACAAAATATTGATGTATAAGAGTGATTTACTTTTGTGTCATGTGTAGACTCCGTACTGACGTTATTCTTGAGTAGGTGGTAAAAGGTAAAGTTTATGGGTGTTTGAGTCAGTTGCGGCGACCACTCTGTGGCATCAATGCAAAGTACGTTTTCTGGTCTTTTCATACCTAAAACACGTCAATGCGACAGACGTAGCCCCTGTTTTAGGTACGAGCTCCTCATTTTGTCTTAGGTGGTCAGAGTCCTTCTCCTGTCGTTCACTCTCCTCCTCCTCTTTGTTTGTGTTGCCTTTACGCAGATTTCCTGCCTCCTGCCTGTCAAATGACAAAAATATTGCCATAAAGAGTTAGATTTGTGACACAACAAAATCAACAATAGAGATTAATGTGAAACAACAGACGTTTTTCTATTGTCACACGATATATATTTTCATTTAGCATAGCCCTACTATCGACTATCTACTATCGATATTAGGCAATCTACATTTCAAATTTGGTCTGCAAGGGGATTTAAAGAGGGATATTGAAGACTTGAAGACCAAAGACTTTGGTAACTCTCTCGGGAAGTCAGGGGATTACCATCTGAATTCTACAAATTGGTTTGGCATCCCTGTGTCACAGGGGGGCTGAGAGTCTGCAGGTTTTCACTCCAACCATAAACCAACCAATTAACACAATCATTTATTGATCTCAGCTGATCAGGGTGCATGATTACCTATCTCAGCTTCACGAGAATACAAAAGAATGTTTTTCACGTTATCTCACATCACATCAAGTGATTACTTATATACTGTGAGCTATTTTTTTTTATCATGCTTAAATCATGCTGTACATGAGCTCTACAGTGGTTTTAATTGTTCTGTAATTTGAACCTCTTTGTCCCCCTTTCCTTCCTAAATACCCTCTGTTTCACCTTCTATGTCAGGTTCTGGCATCCCAGAGTTAAAGACCATCCTGAGAGGTGTGGTGCTAAAAGAATACTTAACTCTCAAGGCCTTTGTTGCTAAAGTCATTGGCCTGACTGCTGCACTGGGCAGTGGGATGCCTGTAGGCAAAGAGGTGGGTGAACTCAGATAAAACTTCTCCATTCATATTTTACACAGATTAATTAACCAATTTTTTATTTATTTTTTAGCCCATTGAAACAGCATGTGAGATGTTCTGTTGTATCTGTACTGCATTATGACATAATTTAATATTCCTGCTTTCCTCCTCCACTCAGGGCCCGTTTGTCCACATTGCCAGTATCTGTGCTGCAGTTCTCAGCAGGTTCATGTCCTTCTTTTCAGGAGTTTATCAGGTAAGCTGATGTCAGGAAACATTTTTCCTTTACATTCAATTTTTACGAATGCTTAAGATGTACTGCGTGAGATATTCCTTCCATTCCATCTATATGTTGTTTTTCTATTGTGTCAATCCTGTCTCTTCCTCCTCTCTGGATCAGTAGAATCCATACTGTTATACAGACATCCTGACAGTGGGCTGTGCGGTTGGAGTGGGCTGCTGCTTTGGTACCCCACTTGGAGGTACACAGCTTTTTTTACTCCTGTCCCCCCAGAATGCATGTAAGATAGCCATATCTCTGCATTAGATATTTGTATATTTCACCAGTCAGTCTCTGGGTTCTGTTCAAGATCTTTGATTTAAAAAAAGCCATTTCACAGGAAATATTAGGGTTGTTTGCATGTTCGTTTCTTCAGCTGTGGATTAGTGCATTGTTTTCACTTCCTGCCTCTTGATTACTTTCTTTTCTTTCTCCGCCAGGTGTGCTCTTCAGTATAGAGGTAACATCCACATACTTTGCTGTGAGAAACTACTGGAGAGGATACTTTGCTGCTACTTTTAGTGCCTTCATATTTAGAGTGCTATCCGTGTTCAACAAAGACGCAGGTATGGGTTGAAGAAAATGTTGTTTTTGTCCTTACAAATATTGTATTTGTGTGTGAGATACTGGACAATATTTCATCACTTTCTCTTTATCAAAGATGCACTAGAGGGCGCCCTTACTCCAGAAACCAAACTGTCACATGTTTTTTTTTTTAGTGACACTGACTTTAATGTATGTTCTGGAGGTGCATCATGTAGGGACAGCATGCATTATTTTCCACTAGAGGGTGTCCTCCGCCACCATGTAGCAGCAGGGTATTTTAATGCCTGACTCAGATTACTGAGTGTTTAATAAAAATGTTAATTTAAGTTCTAGACAAGCCTAGCCTTTTTTTACCTGGTGCTATAAAAAAAATCCTACAGCAGCAGCTGCTTCTGTGAAGTAAAGTTTGTTATAAGACTAAATCCTATTTTTAAAATGCTAAAAGAATCACCTGTACGTATCCTGTTAATTTAGATGACTAAAAACTCACTCTGTGCCTTTTCTTCTCCTTCTAGTAACCATCACTGCTCTGTTCAGGACAAACTTCCGCATGGATTTCCCTTTTGACCTGCAGGAGCTGCCAGCATTTGCCATCATTGGGTGAGCGACTGGAAAACTGAAAAGATTTATATGAAAGCATTCTTGTGTGTGTGCACAGTGTGTGTCCAAACTTCTTAATGGATAAAATGGAAAAATGTTAATAAGTCGTACTTTATGTAAATGTAGCATTTGAAACATGGAGAATCCAATTATTAGCTCACCATTTACCTCAGGGGAGGAAAGAGAGACATGGAACACAGGTGGTCAGCTTCATGAGATGATGCAGTTTTACTAGACATAAAACATGACATTTAATTATATTTTCAGTTCTCTCTCATATTTGTTGTTTCTAGTGGCACTAACCTTACTTTGTCATTTACCTTGTCACTTTGTCATTTACCTTATGATTAACAGGGTGTTACAGACGATTGTGAAATTCATTTGTTTGTGCAGGATTTCCTGTGGGTTCCTCGGGGCGTTCTTTGTCTATCTCAACAGACAGGTGGTACTGTTCATGAGGCGACCCAACGCCATGACCCGCTTTCTGACCAAATAGTGAGTTTCTATGTGTTATTATTGTTGATATTTTAATATTTGCTGCAATTTGTAAAACTTAGAGATGGTACAGAATCTTCATACTTGAGTAATCGAAATTAACAATTAGTTTTCATTGCATATACACACAGTATAAAGATGACATACAAAATTATGGTAAATAAAAGTATTGAGCTTGAATCATAGACTGTATATAAAGACGGCTCACATGTCTTAATTTTCTCTTCCTGTACAAAAATGAAGCCAAAATATCCCGTATATGGCCGCTGCCATCATGCTCTATTGATGTTATTTGGAGCATCACTGATAAGAACTACCTAAAATGACACAAATTATCTTTTGGGAAAAATTATTGACATGTACTTAGATTTTTTAGTTTGGCCCATGTCCCATCTGCTATCAGGAAGGGGGTGGGGTTTATGACTGATACAGCAAAGATGTTTTGCCTTCACTTTTGGGAAAACGGCCATGTCGTCCATCTTTATATCTGATCTGAGTCCAGCCGTCTTCATTCATTATCATCACTGATATGCTTATTTACATACACAGCGTAGGACGTATGCATCTGTATATCTATTTGTAATGTTTTTATCCTTTGTTCGTTGTGCTTTCTGTGTTTTGTTAAGGATTTGGATTAGATAAGCGATAATTTCATTAATAAAACTCATTTCTGTTTTCCCTTCCAGCCGGCTGATCTTTCCTGCCGTGGTAACGCTGGTCATCGCCACCTTGACCTTCCCACCCGGGTTTGGACAGTTCATGGCAGGAGAGGTCAGAGTTCATATCTTCCTGTCTCTTATGTAAACAAAGGAGAATACAGGGCATGTAAATCTGTTTGTACCAGCGTGCAATGCTGACAGCTACAGAGAGCTGATCATCAAAAACCAGCAGTAAATGTCACCCCACAAAAGCAAACAGCGGTAACTAATTTACATGTTTTACAACACCACTACACACAGATACTAATGTAAAAGCACACCTGCTTCAAAACAACAGAGAAAAAAGTTGTGGTGTTCAGTATCCATCTACAGGCCATGATGTGTCCTAACCAGAAAGCAAATCCAAAGAGCAGAGTTTGAGCACTAACCAACAAACTCTTAGATCTTTTGTCTTGATAAATATAAGCCTGCTGTGTTCCCTTTATGGGTACTACATCACAGGATTTTGGGGTATTGAAGTCCAGAATTTTTCAAACTGTGACCTCTCGATGCCACAGGGAGCCGGGAGCCACCAACATGAACATTTACCTCGTGCGCCTTTGAGGGAAAAAACGGCAACAAACTTTGATCTGGCAGAGGTATTCTGGATAAATTCACTTAAATGTGTAAGAAGTGTAAAAGGAATTCATGTTGTTCACATGTACAGATCCCAAAGCTACATTATCTTCTATGTTTGTGGGGCAGCAGGTTAGATAAAGTGGGACACTCTCATGTTTTCTATAATTGGGATTAACATTTAGGATATGAGCTGCATACGCATGAACCGAACAAAAATCTATACTTGAATATTCTGAAAAACCTTCAGTGTCCTATTAATGTGCATCTGTGGCCTCACTGTGATGTCAGTGCCCATGTTTCTACATGAATGGAAGCGACACGCCTTATAGCAGAACACATGTACAAAAGGAGTTTTAAGGTGAAAGCTCCCCCACCCAGAGCCCTGTGCTAATCATGTGTTTCACAGACGCTCAGAATAGACCGCGTAGTGTGAACCAGGTGTGTGTTATATGTTGTTGTAAGTGAATGCTGTGAATCTGTGTGCATATGTCAGTCAGCAACACCTTAACATGTCTTTTTGTTGTTATTTTTTTTCTTTTATGCCCTCGGTGCATGTCTTTCACACCCTAATTGCAGAAATGTCTCACACCTTTATAACAAACTCACAGTATCGTTCTAACACAACAGGGGGGGTGAAGTGATATCTAAATTTAAATCATTTTACTTTAGAAAATAAATCTGTATTTGACGGATACTTTTCCTCCCTAAAAAGTGTTCATATAGCTTTTGGGGAATGAAATCCTTCCAGTCCAAGTTGATAGCACAGTGCTGAGTGACAGAAGGAGCAGCACAGCGAGAGGAGATTAAATGCTACATGGGTTGTGAACCAGACGTGAACCCACAACTTCAAAAAGGCACAGGAAAGCCTTTTATTACATCCTGCTCTGTGGAGGCCAACAGCAGCTTTTAACGGAGCGGATTCTCAACATTTCCACTCTCGCACTCAGCGATGAATTTCAGGGCCCCGATTCAACCCGAGCTCAAGTAGGAAGTAAAAAAAGTAGAAAAATTGAAATGACGTTGGTGTTGCTTTTCCCCCGCAGCGGCGTTATGCAGATGCGGCAGGCGCTGCGTTTTGTGCCTGTGAGCAAATTCAGAGGCATCTATGCAAATGTGGAGCAAAATGGTTGAAGTGAATTAGTCATTCATGAGTCATCTAAAGAGAATGAGTCATTGGACACGGCCACCCGTACCCGTCTGCTTCCAGCTTTCTGGATGACTTCCTGCCTGTTTATCCCACTTGACTTTCTTCCACCCTTTACTTTTTTATTTCCCCGTTCTTTTAATGTCTTCACTCTCTTTCCTTTCCCTTTCTTTCCTTTTTCTTTTCCTCCTTGTCTCTTTTCTTCCTATCGTATTTTCTATTTCCTATTCCCTAACCCTCTTGTTCTCCTTCCCTCTTTTATATCCTCCTCTGTTTGGCTTCTTCTCCCCACTCTTTATTGCCCTACACTTCCTCTCACATCCCTCACTTTCACCCTTCTTGTCTTCATACACTCGATCTCTCTCTTACCCGATAACTCCTTTTTCACCTTCTTTAACCCTAACTTTCTCTCCCCATCCTTCTTTGTCCTTCCCTTCTCCCCCTTTTTTGTCTCCAGTTTCCTTTACACATCTTCATCTTTCTCCTCTTTACTTCCTCCCTCTTTATTTCTCTTCTCATTTTCTCTTCACTTCCACCCTCTCTCTCATTTTGTCTTCTCTTTTCCCCCCGATTCCCTTTTTGGTACTTCTCTCACCATTATTTTTTTCTCCTCCCCATCCCTTTTGTCTTCTCTATCCATCCCTCTTCAATCTCTTCCACTCTTACCTTCACCTTCCTCCCAACTCACACCCTAACCCTCCCTCCATACTACCTACTGCATACTACCTGCCCTCATCCCTCCTTCCCTCTGCTCTTCCTTCCTTTCCACCCCTCTCCTCCCTCCCCCTCCAGCTGATGCCCAGGGAGTGCATCAACTCTCTGTTTGACAACTTTACGTGGACAAAGATTTCGGGATCTCCTTTTCCAGTCGGTCTGGGCCGCTCCGCCGCCTGGCTGCACCCTGACGTCAGTGTCTTCCTCATCCTGCTGCTCTTCTTCCTCATGAAGGTCTGTGGCTGCTGGGAAATGTGTGTGTGTGTGTGTGTGTGTGTGTGTGTGTGTGTGTGTGTGTACAAACGTGTTTAGATTATGCACAAATGTATATGTCTAAATGTGTGTTTGAGTGCAAGTTGGGTGCACGTTTGTGTGTGTGTGTGTGTGTGTGTGTGTGTGTGTGTGTGTGTGTGTGTGTGGCTCCACCTGACGTCAGCATTTTCGTCATCACCTTCGTCTTTTAATTATGGTTGCAGGTCACTCATGTTGTGTGTTGGTGATGGGGACATCTGTTGGTGTGTGTATCTGTGTCTGTGTATTTGTCTTCCTCCTTTTCTTCCTGTCCAAGGTCAACCATGCTGGCACACTGCCAGCAATCCTTGCATTCTTATGTTTTCTTGAAAGCAGCCGTACACACCACACACACACACACACACACACACACACACACACACACCACTGGGAGTTACAATTTTTGCTTTGTCAGTTGTTATTTGCATCGACATGCACCCAAATCTGGTCTCGGTGCTGGGTTGACTGTGAATCAGCAGAACGTTGATGAAACTGTCTGTCAAACATTCCACAGTGCACGCAAGTAGAGAAATGATCACTAACACACATGAACAACCCAAATAAACTTTGATAACTAAATTATAATAACAAAAACAGAAAATGGTGGATTGCTCCGTCAAGGTTGGGAGTGAGTTGCTGCACCAAGTAAAGGAGTATCTCTGGATTTTGTTCACCGTAATCTTACCCCAGACAAGAGGGTGGATGGATGGATGGATGGACGCACAATAACAAGGCAGCTACACAGACCATTACGATTGTTAATAATCAGTATGTTTTGTCTTAGGTGTGAATGTGAATCATCAAAGCAGCATAAGGCAACTAACAGAGTTTCAAAGAGACCACGATGGTGCTTGTAGAATCAGTTACAAAAACTGTTGTTTGCTCCTCAAAAGACAACTAATCACTGCAAATTAACTGGTTTACAGATAATATAAAGATGCATAACCTGCCTTGTGGGTTTGTGCACAGAGAACTGTCTAGTGGGAGTTATGCAGGTCTTATGCAGGCATTGCATGGTCATGTGATGTCCAAGGCTATTTTTAAGACCTCTCCGAAGTGCAGTAACTGCTCCCGCCCATACAAATTAATGAGTGGTTTCATTAACATCCAGACAATGTCAGAGTAGAGGACTTCATCCAAAAGAAACTTGATGACAGGATGACGGGATCGGAATAGAGTTGAGAATAATTACACCCGATCCAAAACCTGATCAGACCCAGATAGAGAGAGCACCACGCTGGCAGCAGCATGATTCACCATCAGTTAATGAGTAGCCATGTTCAAAAAAATATATATAAATATAATTTATCCTGGTCTTCACCTGCTCAAAAAAATGTTTTTCTCCTGGGGTAGTTATGACTTACAACAGGACTCGACATTAATGCTTGCTTGCTTGCCCGGGGCAACTAAACTCTGTGTTCTGGCAAGTGGAATGCTTCATGCAGTTGTTTGATTATTTTTTTAAACCAAAACTATGGTGCCTTTTATCAGCAACGGCTTTGATGGACATGTGTTAAAGACATGTCCACCATGTCTTTGATGGACATGTACCAAGCGCCGGCACTTGCGTGTGAAGGCAATGACAGAAATACACATTCACACAATTTCTGCAAGATCAAGGTATTTGATGAATTACTGTTATTTGTGGGGCAAATGACTGTGTGTTGGTAATGACAGCTAGAGAGACACACACACAGTGTGTTCACTGTTGCTTTATGGTGCCAATGTCATTGAGTACCACATTGGTTTTGATCCAGCCTCTGTGATTTGATGTGAAATCCTAATTATGGGTGAAAAATCCCAAATGGGAGTTTGGGCAACTTTATAAAACATACTGCTGAAGGTCAATGGAGCAGACCATGCAGCAGTTTAGTATGCAGAATAGTAACGAAGACTGTGGTTGTTCCAAAACCAATGGGTCCCAGTCCTTATTCTATACATATTTAAGTTGTGCTGGGTATTGTACTGTAGGTTGTTCTAGTTTTTATAATTCTGACCCACTGGGGAATAACGGTGTAACCACCAAACTAAAGCACTCAGTTTAACTTGAATTGTAACCAAGACACAAACATGTTTCCAAAAATCATGTTTTGAAGTCAAAGGGCAGCCCTCCTCATCTTTAACCTCATTATATTCATATCTTTTTCTTTTTTTCTTTTGCATTTCTATCAATCTGTCCACCCCCAGTATTATTCTTCATTTATAAATGGTGTGACCAGACTAGCTTCTGAGTTCAAGTGTTTCATGTATGAAAAACACAGACAGACAAAGTCTGGTCTCTAAATACTCTGAGTCCCGACCCGCCTACAGTCTGTTGGCTGTTGCAGAAAACAGGAGCAAGCTGTTGCTGCCTTCTGTTTGGTGAAGATCTGCGGCTTCTCAAGAGCTCTAGCGGAGAACAGTGAGAAACTGAAAAGCAGATTACTTCCTCAGTAACTACAAAACCAAACTTTTCAGTCTACATGAAAGTCACATGACACAAAGTTCTGCTCATACCAGTAAGTATATCTGACCAACAGCCATGTTGTATTGGCTGGCGTTGTGACGCTGTGAGTTTCTTTCTACCTAAACCTTTAAGGTCGGGATTGAACTGTTTCATCTGGAGGAAGTCTAAAGCTTCCCAGCACCAAAAGCTGCTGTCAGTCAACTCTAATTCTGACCATAGGAATGGAAATTGGAAAGAAAAACCTCTTTTACAATGCAGATGTCTAAGATCATTAAAATTGACCTCCATAGTTTGTCATATATCATTTTCATCTTTTGACTTCTCAATATCTATTTATCTTATTTCTGTAGTCTAAAGTCAAATTAGCCAGAAGTGCCATATAAATAATCCTATCAACAGGATATTAAAGCCTGTCACTCAACGTCATACACTGCATTGGTTTAGTCATGGTGTTTCTCAGAGTGGCTCCCTGTAGTGAAAACCTAATTCAACCAAAACCGAAAGCAGCTGGCTGATAAAACTCCTCACAACACACAAGCACACACACACACACACACACACACACAGACACACACACACACACACACACACACACACACACACACACTGTGCGTATTTCTGCTTTTTTGTTGCCTTCTGCTGCTGTCAGCCTTTCTCTAGTACATACTCAAACACGCACTCTGGATCTTCCTCTCTCCCACATGCTTCTCTCTGCCTCTGTTTCCCTATCTCCCTTTGACCTACACATGATTAGGTGTTCTCTCTTTGTCTATCCACCTGAAAAACAAAATGTCAAAATAAGTGCTAGCACAAAAGCCGTCATGCTGCTTGTGTATTTATTGGATAGTTTTGGCAAGAACGATGAGTCCGAACCAGCAACCTCCAGTCGACATTTTTCTGCTATTATTCACCTGTTTTTATTTCCATCTCTGTCTCTCTTTATCACACATGAACAGGAACCCATATTTCTTCAGCTTATTTTTACTCCATATCCGCATTGTTCTCTATCAAACAGTGTAGCTAACTCCGTGACTCAGTGTTTCTGCTCTCATCTATCTCAGGATTTGTGACACTGATGAAAGAGTGTGCTGAATGCCTGTGTGTGTGCCCGTTTTAGTGCGTTGTGTGTTTCTGCATGATTGTGTTGGGCTGTCAGGATTAAAAGAGAAGAAGTCAGCGAGCGCGGTCCTCTCTGTCATCAGGATAGCAGCCACCCTGTGAGAGACGTGCTAATGAGTTTTTATCTTGTAACACAGTAATTAAGTTCTCAAACGATGATGACAAATGATGTGTAGAATAGTAATCTGGACTGTTAAAGTGGTAATGTAGTGTTTCTCACCATTCCCTTCAAATCAAAAAGAGAAAGCCCAGCGTGTGGTGCCCGTGAAGGGATGCTGGTGAAACTCTCCTTCTCTGTCTCTCGGTCTCTGTGGACACACACACACACACACACACAGACACACACACACACACACACAGACACACACAGACACACACACACACACAGACACAGACACACACACACACACACACACACACACACACACAGAGAGAGAGAGACACACACGCACACACAGCTTGTGTAAAGGTAATCATTATCTCTGATGAGCTCTCTGCAGCCAAGAACAAAGCGTGTTATTAGGCGAGCTATTTCGAAGTTACATTCTGATGAATACAGAAATTGTTTGGAGACAAACAGTGTAAGTGACATTTGAAGGGGGAGTTTAGCGTTAATTTTCTCTGCGGAGGAGTTATGCACATTTGATCTTTTCACCCACTCAGTCCTGCACAGACACACGGTCATCTGAATGCCCAGAAACAGCTACCGCACTCTGCAGCTTCACTGGAGCAGCTGATGATTAAGTGCCTTGCTCATGGACAACCAAGGGTGATTGGGTTCCCTCCCCCGCCCCACACACACACGGTTTGCTGGCCCTTTTGATGGTGTCTACAAGTGGTTTCTAACATTGATAGATTGAGGCTCTGTACACGTCCGTCAAGCCATCCACAGTTCCTCTGTCTGAATAGTGTGGCATGTTTCTTGTCTTACAGTTCTGGATGTCTGCAGTGGCCACCACCATGCCCATTCCCTCTGGGGCCTTTATGCCTGTCTTCATACTGGGTGAGCAAAAACCCTTGTAGCCTTTATATACTGTAGTTACGGTTGCATGAGGACATTTATTTGCCAGTTTTTGCCCATTTGAGTATTGTTTTGAATATTTTTAGTCATTGTGGTTATACTAAAGTTCTATGATTAGCAACTGAAATCTTGTTTTCCGTTGTTCAGTCGTTGTATCTGAAGGTTCCTGTTCCATTAACTTTCACATTAGATATCAGGTTACTATTATTCAGATAAACATTTAAGGAATCAGTGATTATTTGCAGTAGTTTGGAGTTCATCTGTTGTTTTTGTAGTGTGAAAGGCTTCGCAGTGTGACCTTTACCAGTATTTCCCTTTAAAATATTCATCATTATCAGCTGTAAACAACTTCAGATGAATCAGTTCTAGATACGGTGTGTCATGTTGTATGCGTGTGGGTATGCGTGTGTGTGTGTGTGTGTGTGTGTGTGTGTGTGTGTGTGTGTGTTCCTCTATGGTTTTGGCCTTTCATGCAGTGCAGTGGCACAAAGCATCAACATTTTACAAACTTTTTAAATTAGATCATTACAGGAGCTTCATCAAAAAAGAAAAGCAGGATTGTTGCTCTTACAGGCGTTCCTCTCTGGCGGGATGTTTTTGGACATAATCCTGTTGGAAGTGATTTCTTTCATCAGCCTTTCCACCATCTGCTGTCACTAGAAACGCTCATGAGTTCTGTTTGCTCTGCTGATAAACACTGAAAAATGCAGTTTAAAGACCATTAGTGATATTTCTGTTTGTCTACAGCAATCATACAGATGTCTCAGAATTAATGTGATATTTATTTTATTATAGTAAAAGGCTATTCAAGGTATATCAGAATGAGCTTCGTTGGCCAAGTATGTGTGAACATACGTGGTATTTGACTCCGGTTTTAAGTTGCTCTCATACTTGCAACACAGAGGCTGCTATCCTGTTTTCACATCTTTTATTTTTTAGCTCTGTGAAAGGTAACTGTTTAACTTTTCTTTCCTCTTGCAGGAGCTGCATTCGGCAGGCTGGTAGGAGAGATCATGGCCACCTTGTTTCCTCATGGGATTGTGTTTGATGGCATCCTTTACCGCATCATCCCTGGAGGGTACGCAGTCATTGGTTAGTCTCCCTTTCCTCCTCTTAGCAATCCCCCTTAGTTTTATCACACATTTTGTCAACTGCAACTTTTGTTCACCTTCCTTCAGCCTCCAATTATGATTAGTTGTTGACATAGCCAGAGTAACACGCAGGGGCAAAGTTTGAGAACCAGCATACCATCCTGGTTACCATCGACCTAACAGTATATCATGTAATCCGGGCACATCCTCTCAAGTACAAATAATCATCAATCAGCACTGCCCATTTTAAAACCCTTATCAACAAAGCCTTACTGTCAAGCTGTCCACCTCCCTTCTGCCTCCTCCCTGTCCTCCTCTTTCTCCCCCTTAACTGTCTGCCTCCCGCGCCCTCAGTTTGTCAGCAGTGGTCAAGAAGTCCTCTTCCGTCTCTCCTGTCACTTTTCTCATCTTCTTCCTCCTCCAACTTCTCCTCCTCCTCTCCTGTCAACCTCTCTGGCCCTCAAGTTGTCACTTGTTGTCAAATTGTCCTCCCCACCCAATCTTCCTCATCTCCTTCCCTTCGTTGTCTTCCTCCCCCCTCCTCCTCTTCCTCCTTTCCATCAGAGCATGTGGCCACTTTGCTCTGACAGTTAAATGTCACTGCGGGCTCCCTCTGCTGTCCTCACCTCAGCCACTGACCCAGAAACGCGGCCTTCCTTCAATCCTACTCCTGTTGCCCTACAAAGCCCATCCTTCCTCTTTCTCCTTTGATCCCTCCTTACTTCCTCCTTTCCTTCCTACTCTGTCCTTTGTGTCATCCGTTTTATCCTTCTCTCTCCAATATTTTTTTTTGTGTGCTTCCTGTCGCCACTCTCATACCTTATTAATCTATTTTTGTTTCTTCCTCCTTCATTTCACCTGCACACTATCCCATGATATTTTCCTTTTTTCTCCTTTTTCTTCTATCCATCCTTTATGTTTTCTTCCTGCCTAAAATATGTCTATCGTATTGTACATTAACATTTTGTTCATTTGCTCTATCCTGCCTCTCGACTCCTTTTTCCATACTCGCGTTTCTTTTTAGTTTTTTGTCATCCTCCTTTACTTCTTTAACACCCATCCTTCCACCCTGTTACTCCAATGCTCTCTCTTTCTTTATCCATCCTTTACCCCCACCTCCCTCCCTCCTTCCTTCCCCTCATCATCCCATCCCATGTCTCTGACAGGAGCGGCAGCTTTGACCGGGGCTGTGACTCACACTGTATCCACAGCGGTTATCTGCTTTGAGCTGACAGGCCAGATCTCCCACATCCTCCCCATGATGGTGGCAGTAATCCTGGCCAACATGGTGGCCCAAGGCCTGCAGCCCTCCCTGTACGACTCCATCATACAGGTCAAGAAGCTGCCGTACCTGCCAGAGCTGGGCTTCGGACACATGAGGTTTGTGCTGATTTTCTCACGGCAGATGTCTCCATGTAAGGGAATAAAGAGGTCCTCTTCTGCTGTAGAGCTGCCAAATGGTCAACGCTGATTGGTTCTTCCTTGAATTTTTTTGTTCTTCACAACCTCAGTCTGATGTCCTAGATAAATGCACCATACATGATGTTTCAGTTCACCTCTGCACCTGTGTGTCTCTCCTACAGCCAGTACAACATCTTTGTAGAAGACATCATGGTGACAAAGGTGAAGTTTATATCCTCTCAGTCCACATACAGAGAAGTCAAACTCCTGCTGGACTCCTCCTCACTCAAATCAATCCCACTAGTCGACTCAAAAGGTAAAATCATTCATTATGAATTTAATCACTAAGCTACATAGACCCAAATCTGAGCCTACTTAGTGTTGTTAAGGAATATTTTTGTCAAAGCATCAATGAAGTCAGTGTGAATGAGCATGGCAGCTCAGTCTGTGGTTTATTATTTTTAGTGTTACACTTTTTTCTCCTGCTTCCAGATTCTATGATCCTATTGGGCAGTGTCGACAGGTTGGAGCTTCTGGCTCTCTGTGATTGGTGGTTGTCGCCAGAGAGAAGACTCCTGATGCAGGTGAGGACAGTCAGAGACACTATTGTTAGTTGGTGTTCAGTGTCTTAATGAAAGACTCTATGTCATGTACGAAAGTCCTTCCCATTATTAACCGACTCAGATAGGCTTCACAAATTCCCATTTGTTTCTTGATTTTACTTATCAAAATATATACAATATTATAAAAACTTGTGCACTGCAGATTACAGCAATTTTTTACCTAAATAGCAGAACAGGTTGTGTTTAATTTACATGATGATTATGTCGGTAAATGAGGCTGCTTGAGTCCCTCTTGTTTTTAGTGGAAGCTGTTTCCATGGCGACGAAAACAAAAACATGCAAGCCATCTGAGATGAAATTAGGGATTTAAATATCCTTCCTAGGACTGTATCCTATCCTATCCTTAGACCTGATTTGGATATGGAAAAATTATATGAAAGGAAACTCCACTTCAAGAAACCCCAAATGATAAATAATTGATAAAAGTTTCATGAATGTGGATCCTGACTTGGTGAAAGACCATAAGGCCACATCATTTAGTGTAAGCAGAGGTTTTCTGTTAGATGAAATAAGACATGAACAGGATGGATACATGCACATTGGAATAGCCAAAAGTAGAAATGCAAATATTGTATAAGACAAAGCTGCTGCAGCCTGGCTTTATTTAGTATTGACTCCACACAGGGAAGTCAAACAGCTATATATTAAACTCTATATCACCTCAGAAGTCCAAAGGAGAAACATCAAATATGTAACACGTTTTAATGAGGCAGTAGAACTAAAAAGGACACACTGGTGTTAAACACAGTAGAATAGTTTGGTATTCACTTGGAATTCAATACTGGTTTTGTGGCAACACCAGTCTGTATCGATCTGTTTACCTGGATTTGGATTCAGGGTCAGAGCCTACAGGAGCAGAATCAGTCTCAGAAACACAGCTGGGAGTCCTTTGCCTTCGTAGATGATGAGGAAGAGGAGGATGGAGAGAAGGTGGGGCTCCTATTTTATACATTTCTTTTCAAGCCATGAGTGTTTTCTTCCTTTGTAGTGTCTTGGAGTTATTCTAAGATGCACAATATCTTTTTTACTTACTTTAAGACCTGATTTTATTGTCCAACATGTTTTATCATTTGTTTTAAAAGGTGATTTTATTAATAAGGTTTACGTAGTTATGTCTAGTTGTCGTCTGCAGGGCAGCCCGGTGCAGGAGGAGAGGAACGGCCCCCTGCCTCCCCCAAAGCCTCAGGAGCCTTCATTAAACCACACTGCTTCTGTTTCTGGTGAGCTGAGAAGATTTTATTTTCCTGAGTACATTTTTAGGTTTTTTTTTTATGTCAGTGGCAGTGTCATAATCATACATTATCTCTGCACTAGCTGCCTCTGGGAAAGGGAATAAATGGAATTAACAAAGTCTTTATAGGATGTGATAAAAGCACGGACAACTTTCTCCAGTTGATGCAAAGGATAAAGGCCTTACTTGCTCCAGTTTCTTGCCTTTGTACCACCCACTCGTGAATCCCAAATCAAGATCAACATCCAGTTTAATGCAGAAACAAATCAAACTTTGGAGGGCAATTACAATTTCTGATTTCTTTTCCTTATCTCACTTACACTTGTGGAGTTTGGTGACATGGAGTTGAGGCCGGGCAGTGAAAGCCTTATGGGGCTTGTCATAGTAATATTGATTCTTTCAGACAAGTTTTGCTCACTAGGGTGATGTAACAGGATTTATTCTTTGCTCTGTCTCCCCTACTTCTCCTCAGAAAAATATGTCAGCTGATATGACTAAGCATTTAGTCAGAGCCCAGATGGTCTATGAAGCTAACCGGGTTCTCATATGTGTTAAGTACATTAGTGCCCAGAGGACACAAACACATCTTCTTAGTGCTTATAAAGTATGAAAGGAGAAACCATGGGAATTAATCGAATTATGAGGAACAGTGTTACATTATAGCAGCTAGTAGCAGCTTTAATGCCAATCCAAACACACGCAGGTCAAATACAAACACATGCCATATATTTTTAGTCATGTCATTTTCTTGTGAGTGTCACATTTGTTCTCCTCACTTCCCACCAAGTCAGTCTTACCATGCAGCCACCTATATGTCCTTACAACCATTTATTTCACAAAATAAAAGGTTAAATTGTTCTATTTAATTAATTTGTCTTCCTTTCACACTGTTTACCACATGGACTTGAACAAGTTTGTCTGTCTCAGACCTCAACAGATGTAAAAAAAAAAAAAAAAATGGAATTAATAACTTTGCAGCCCTAACAGTGATGAGGGAGGGTTGGGCAGCATGTTCACTGCAAGTAACCAGATGGGGTGTGTATATCAATTGTGGCACAGTAAACTAGCCTATCACACGCAACAACAGACAGTCTCCCAGTGAAATGGTATCCAGGCAACAACAATAAGGAGTTGCTTGGGTTGTTGCAGTCTCTCAAAACCTCCATTTGCAGTTAGGTTATTCTCGCCAGAAGCTGTAAGTCTTTCAAAAAGCTGTGTTTGTATAATTTATTGACCTTCACCGACTGCATCTCCCTCTTCACCTCTCTCTCCCAGAAAAAGGTCCTCTACAGTCTGTGAGGAAAACACTCAGGAATCTCTTCACCTCTAAGAGCAGACAGACAGAGGGACAGTCACAGGTTTTGTGTGTGTGTGTGTGTGTGTGTGTGTGTGTGTGTGTGTGTGTGTGTGTGTGTGTGTGTGTGTGTGTGTGTGTTAATGCACTTTGACTAATGTCTGCCCAGTCCTAAGCACACTTGTCTCTACTCTGTATGTCATGTTGGTAATTCTGCTCACTTACATCCCGTGTCTCTACATGTCTGTGTATTTTCTGTCTTTGTAAACCTTTGTGCCCTTTCTCTGTTCAGCTAACTGTTCAGAGATGTCTGGAGTGTACTCTGGAGCTAAGACATTTTCCCTTGTGTCATGAATCACTGAAATGCAAATAACCCTATCCATTTGGCAAAACCATATCATCACACTGGCACTGCTAGGATATAAATATTTATCCATTATTTTTTGCAGGGCGAATTTTTCATTATGGGGTCTGCTTTCTATTCAGGCAGATACACATTTATCTGATTGACAGAAGCACATGAATACACAACTGCTTCCTCATCCTCAGACAAACTCCCCGAAGTCGAGCCTCTTTTTTTCTCCAACCTTCTCTCATATGGAAATGGGGAAGCCAGATACTGGAGGTAGAGTTATTATTCAGCTTGGCGGTGAGCCTGGCTCACAGGGAAAGCAATACATGTCATCTGTTTATACGTGCAGGAATGAAAACCACATTGGAAATAAGCATATGCTTGTAAGCTTGCAAGATTAGAATTTGATTTCTATTGTGCCGACTGCTGTGGCTTGTGAATTACCGGTCTGATTCTCTATTATGTGTTTGGATTCAATCCTATTCCTGCATGGGGATTGTTTTTACAGCAGCGCGCCACAATTCTACAGCCCTGAATATCAAATAGACTCACAGTAGGAAGTTGCCACCAGCAATAAAGCCAAACTATGACTGAACTCTGGCTGTGAATCAGGTTTGTCCACTTTACCAGCCTCTGATGGAAGGTAACCAGGCACTGACCTTAAAATATTATCTGGCTGGTGTAATAGTGTCAGCATCTTCTTGCATTAGTATAATTGCTGTGGTTCCAGTGATACACAATATGAATGCAGAAATGCAATCACTGACTTTGTACAGGGGAGATAAAAAAAAAATATCATGTGAAGTTGAAAATAGGTCTTTCCATTCATTTGTGTTTTGTCGACAAAGTTAGCTCCCGGCTGCGAATGGACATAGAAACCTGACAACCGTTGCACTCTGTTAGCAACAGAAAGTGAATGAACGAGGGACATCGCTAATAAATTCAGATTCACAAAACAGGTCACAGCAGGTGTTGGCCTAAATTTCACCTTCTGCATCCAGTTTACTCACAGAGCTGTTGGATGTGCCGTGAGGGTGAAAGATGAACAGAAGAAACTGGATGACAGCAGCCTGATTACAAAAAATGTGTGATTGTGATTGGTCACAATTGCTGTGAAAGAGACAGAAATCCAATTTGAGAAAATTAAGAATGATCACTTATTGTATTTGCTTGTAATATTCAAACTATATTTTATACATTGTAATGTGTCTTATACAGATGGCAGATATACATGAATCCAATAGTAAATATTGAGTAATCAGATTTCCCAACTGAAACGAAGTTCTGTGATGTATAAAGCAATATGAAACAGCTTGTACTTGTACTGGTTTGTACCTTTCCCTTTGCTCCCCTCATGTAAGATTCAGATGATGCCTTCTGGATTTAGAGGTGACATCCAGCCCGGCTCATAGGGACAGAAGTGACAGAGGATGTTTTTATAAACTCACTCACAAACATGTCTCATCTCTCATCTGTCTCTTCCTTTCTTTGTCTCCAGGAGCCCTGTCCTCCTCCCCTGTCAGACACAATGACACCAGAGGAGGTATGGTAATGACAGAGGGGCGATGGATTTGCATGGTTTTACACAAATGTCTGCTTAATTATTTACAGCATTGTGATCAAATACTCACGCCTGTGTTGAGTCCCCAAACTTCGAGTACAAAATGAATGTTGTTTTTTTTCACAATCTAAATTATTTTCTCTTCCATTTATCTTTTGTTATATTGTGGATCTCAGAGATTGAACCAGGGGATATTAAACTAAACCCTTCTGCATGATTAAATATAAGAAGACATAAACTTGGGTGAACTGACCCTTAAAAAAAAGAGTGAAAATCAGATTTGAAAACATCAGAAATAACAAACCTTGCCTGTGTCTGCCAACAGAACATCTAAAAACACATTTACAGAATGATAATGATACATGTGCACCTGTTCTAAGACAAGCAAGGAATGGTATGAACATTCCCAAATGAGTGCTCTTATCTTTATTTATCATTAAGTCAGTGCTGGTAAATGACAGTATTAACATTCAAAAATCATGTCACAGTGTGTCACAGGTGTTAGAGATCCGTGTCGCATTTGAGGAGAAGATTCAGATTTGGGGCACCTTTTAACTGCAGTGTGAACACACCCAGAATTTTAAATGAGACATCTTTTTTTTGTTAAGCGCACCAAAACAATATTGTCCCCTCCAGCCCTGTTCTGTCTGCTTCTCTCTCTTTTCTCTTCCTGGCACTGTCCCAAAATGCCCCATAACATCGCCCTGTAAATTCTACAAGACTGCTGCCCCTGTCACAACAGGCCGAGGCTTGTAGGTAAAATCCATAGAGAGGCTAAAAGGTGTCATACATCCTAAATCTCAGAGGGGAGACCAGAGACATGCAAGGACGCGAAACACAGGGTGTCAAGGTTTTTCACAGCAGCAAAAAACTCCTTAGTAGTAGCTAACGACACCTCCCTCCTTCTGCCACACACAGATTGTACAAACGGACACACCTTCACACACACCGCTCAGTGTAATGATTTATTTAACGGTGAATAATGTATGCTATACTGTAGGTATATGACCCATCATAAAAGTAAATGCTGATCTTTACCTCTGGCTGAACTCACACATTGGAATAGAAGAGAGAAACTCTGGACTGATGCCAGCCCGTCCACCTATGTGACCTTGCTTCTTATTTGCTGCTGCAGATCAAAGCGTGGGAAGAGGCAGAGATGGACACACCGATGGAAATCGATGAGATACGAGTAGACCCTTCCCCTTTCCAGCTGGTTGAGAGAACATCGTTACACAAGGTTGGTGGAGACAAACAGGCGTGACAAAAGTCAGCAGGCGTTCAGAGTGCACAGCTGTTCACAGCACCTTGCTTCTTTACAGTAGTTTAGTTTCTATGAAAATAGGATGTAGGCATGAATCTAGGGCTGTAGAAAACAAACGAAAACTCTTTTCACTCTTAAACTCGGACTCTAACTGGTAGCTGCGGGGTGCTAATTAAAGTTAGACAACACTGCCAAGAAAATGAATTCTTGCAGTCTATTTCTTTTTCACATGGAGCTATATTATTACTTTGATAGCATATTGTCTATCAAGTAAAGTTGGATACAGCAACACACACACACACACACACACACACACACACACACACACACAGCTCTTGTTATTTAGTTGGCTTTAAATGATGTTTACATTCACATTTTTCCTAGCTGTCCCTCAATATTACAACATTAGTCCAAAAGTCTGAGCGAGTAGCCACTTACGTGCAACCAAAGTTCAGGAGGCTAAACAACAAAAATAACACTAAAACAACATAAAACATGACAGCCGGTAGTGTTATCGATCCATCGTTGAGCTTTAACATTTAGCCTGGGCAGCAGTGGTTAAATGCAAACACACTTTGCCCTTAAAAATAAACTCTATCCTCTCAGCTCTTCTGTCCCTGAGGGGCCGATGTAGCGAGTTTTGTGCGTGGTTGTGAAAACGGGGGTGTTGTTTTGACTTCCGTGAATATTTTCACCACTGAAAATGTCAGAGCAGAAACTCTGAACTCCTGATTGATTCTATGCGCAAAAGTTTAGACCTGTCACATTCTGAAAGCATATAGGTTAACAGTTAAGATCAGACCTTGAACAAACACATGTATGTAGGTTACAGCCCCCTCGCCCACAGAGTGAATAGAATGACAGGACTGTAATGGATGTGCACAACTCGTTATATGTGTGTCACATCATCTAACGAGTTCCACACCTCAGACATAGTTATTATTTTAGGAAATGATTACTAATGTCCAGATCTCAGTGACCCTTATGAGTGGCTACGGCCATGTTTGCCACTGAAATTACTTTAGCTTTATATTTTAGTGTATGAAATGCTCACGACCATTCTCACTGGAAAGATCAGTTACATAGTTTTTAATCAGCAGGTGTTTGTCACAACCACTTGTACTTTGTAGTTGCTAAGTAATAATTCAACACTTGTTTGAGCCCCTTTTGCTAAAAAAAAATCCCCAACAGCATAAAGTGACTATTCAAGTGGCCACAGAATCAACTCAAACTCCAGTAATATCACCTTTGTATCAGCCTGAGCCAATTTTTATTCATCCAACTTAATTTCCATCACCAGTTATTGCAATGTTACCTCACTTAAGAAGGAAAAATGTCTCAAGCAAGCATAAAAATATTCAAGAAACGAAGTAAATATCGTCAATTTCTTCCATTTTCATTCAAATGTATTATTCATTATATAATAGTTTGCATGAAATTACTTGGATGGATAGCCTGCAGTTGTTTTAATTGCAAGGCGTAAATTCCCCGTGGACAAGAGTTATGTTTTTTTGTCACCGGTATTATACAAGCACAGAAGCATATAAATGGAGTTCAGCACCTGGAGCAGTCGTCAAGTCTTTTGTTGATGTTCCCGCATTCAGCTCCTTAAGTTGTTTACTTATGTAACGTCTCATTCAGCCGGGGATGTGGGTAACCTTGACAGAGGAGTAATGGCACATGAAGAACACTCAGTGAAGACTCGGATTTATTCACACGGTGTCGTCGAACTAAATGGAGATAGACACTACAGCGGTTCGTTTTTTGACTGAGAACAGAATGTTATTTACTGTAGTCAGTAGGCGGATGGGTTATTACATAAACACCCAAACAGTTCTATGTGGGAGTTGTGCCTGTTGGTTCTAAATGAAGAACGTTTTCATCATGAGGCAAACTTTACTTGTTTTAAAACCATTATTCCTGCCAGAAAAATAAATAAAAGAAACACCCACATTGTGTGTGTCACAATTCATTTATTTCCTGGGAGCTGACCAGTACAAACACAGAGAGGCTCTACTGGAACAGAGGCAGGGTACTGAGTGCCTTGCTCACTGACAATTGAACAGTAGTTGCTTAGGAAGAGGAGATTTTATTTCATGTTCACTGTGAGGGCAGTCTGGGAATCTCTCTCTTCTCTGAAAAGGCAGCAGTTGCATTCCATATAAATCATAGATGCACCCAAAGTAATAACCAGCTTCCTCCCTAAGCTACTGCTGTTGCCCAGCTATTACCTTTGATGAATTTTTGTTCGAACATTCTGAAACTGAATCTTCTACTGGTGCAGAAAAAATATTTATTTTTGTTGGTCCGAAGTTCACCGGTGAATAAAATTCATATTGTACAGGAAATTCAAACCTGCACACTGGTTTATCCGTTATATGGCCCAGCTCTATGTCAATATAGTGTTAACTTCTAGATGTCTGCATTAGTATTCCATCTCACTTTTAAATGTGTTTTTCCGTGGCAACAACTACAAAACTGACATGGAATTCAGATTTTCCTTCATATCCTTTGTACTTTTGTTGCCAGTATAAACGTGAATTTATTTAATTCCTTCAAATCTACATATGTTATATGAGTCTGGACAGATATGGATGTAAACTGCAACAACCAGTAATTTGAGATTTTCCCTGCATTGTACAATTGCTGCCAAACGCTTACATCCTTATTATAACAAATCTGAAGGTGATCCAGGATTTGCAGGATAATTGTTGGATACTGAAGCATGTAAACAGTTTGCACCATTGCTGTTGGTTTTTTATTCATCAGTGATAATGTCATTCTCATGGTAATATCCAGAATATTTAGGTTATTCATTTCAGAAGGGGTCTTTGTGGTGGAGGTGTGCTGATGCATACATAGAGCTCATCCAGACTGTAACCTTAGAATATTCACTGCATGGAAACACACTCAAGGACTTTTTGTTTCTGTGGTTCACCTGGAGCCTCAAGCCAGTTTACTTCCATCTTCCCGTCTCTGTGACATTGTGTCTAGACAGAACTGACCGAGAAGCACAGAGTCCGTAAATTGTCTGGCTTCACAGACGGATGTAAAAAGGCCGTCCTGGTGTGAGGGGTAGAAGTTTGTCGTAATTTGACACGTGACCTTTTCCCTCCACAGACTCACACTTTATTCTCACTGCTGGGGCTAAGTCATGCTTATGTGACCAGTATCGGCAAACTGGTAGGAGTAGTGGCGCTGAAAGAGGTAAGAAACTTCACTTCCGCCTGTGTGAGTGTTTTTTAATTATTTTTTTATTTTTTTATTTAAACTCTGTCTGGTAAAGGTCTCCTGGAAACAAAAGGTAAGCAGTAAATTTGATGAAATTCCCATTGATCAAAGTCCAAAAAAGCCTTCTTCCTTTTTTAATACACTCAACTTTTTGAAGTCTTGCCTTGTCTGTCTTGACTTTGAAGGAAACAAAATCAAATTGTTTTTTGTTCCTGATTTTCTTGGACTTTCATGAAGCTTTTTGAATTATGTATGAGTGTTTTGTTAGTATAATCAATATCCTCTTTGGATGTTTCAGGCTTTCTTTGATGTATTTCATTCATTCTGTCATTACCTGTTATTGTCACTCCTCCGTCCATAAACCTTTTTTGTCTTTATGCTTTTCTTAATTTATCCATCCCATCACTCCTCAATCTCACTGTTGTTTCTTGCTAGCCGCCATTTTCTCCTTTACTCTTTATCCATTTCTTTCGTTTTCTTTATCATTTTATTCTTTCCTCTTATCTGTCTTTTTCTTTCTACTCATACTCGTCTTTCTACTTTAATTTTTCCTTTTGTCTCTCCTTTTCCATTCCTCCTTCTTCCTCCACCACTGTATCTCCTCATCCTTTCCTCTCCTCCTCCTCCTCCTCCTCCTCCTACTCCTCCTCCTCCAGCTCCAGAAGGCCATCGAGGGCTCCACGCGCTCTGGTGTCCGGCTCCGTCCTCCGCTCGCCAGCTTCCGCGACATCAGCAAACACAACTCTGTCCCTAAACCTCCACCTTCTTCTCCCACTGCTCCTTCCTCTCCGACCTCCACCTCCTCTCCCTCGACTCCAGCCGCTCCCGAGCCTCCCTCCCTCTCTCCCCCTCACCACCACCATCATCACCATCACCCTCACCATCATTGCCAAGAGAATGAAACGGAGGTGTGGATCGAGGGCGTGAAGAGGGAGGTGGAGGAGAACAGCAGCAGCAGTGTAGGAAGCGGCGGCGGCAGCAGCAGCAACGCGGCCGGCACCTCAACAAGCTACAACAGCAACCTCACTCTCCCTCCCTCCTCCACTCCTCCCCCAGTCCCTTCTTCCTCCACTCATCCTCCTTCCTCCTCCATCCCTCTCTCCACCCTAAGACCCCTTCAGGGACTCTTTAAGGGGGATGAAGACAGTGATGATGAGCCAATGGTTTAGATTAGATAAGAGTGATGGTTATGTTTTTTATAATGGGAAACTTTTTTAATGGTGTGTGTTTTTTTTTCTGTTCTTAATGTGTTGCTCTGGTCTTTGGACACCTATTTACCTCTTACTGTCACCACTTAGGTAGAGCAAAGATTTAGAAGCAAACAGTGTGTTTGCTTGAAGCTACGCCAAGCTAGGCATAATTTCTTTCTTTTTGTTTTAATACAGTTTATCCCACCTTTACTGTTTCTGTCTGCGACTTATTACTTATAGTTATTTTCTTTGCCCTGCTCACCCCAACCTCTCTGTCTTTCCTTAATAAGCTCTGTATGTGTATGTTTTTTTATACTCGTCATGCCACACTTACTCCTCATTTTCTCTTTCTCATTGACTTTCACATGTAAAGACTCAAGGGTTCATCCCATTATGGTTGAATGTTTATGCCAAAGAACTGATTGTTTCCTTCAGGGTTATTTTCTTATCTGGCGTTATAGCATTCAAAACAGCTTTAAGACAATTCTGACAATCAAGACTCACAATTGTAACCTTGAAAAACAAAGTGCTTCATTGTTAGTGGACCCTTAGGGCAAGATAACCCACCTGCTAAGTAGTACGGTATATTTGACACATTTGAAATTATGAAGAATTTACTTTGAAATCATTACTGAGGAATAAATGTATTATACACTGCTATCATTTACATTGTCCCACTTTGGACTTGGATTAATTAGACACATCTCTGTGTCACAGTGCTTTCCCTCACAACATATGTTCGTCGTTCATCGTTGTGTTTTCATTAACATAATATGCTGTGTTGAAGTAATCCAAATCTGTGCTGCACAAACCAGAAGTGAACCCAGTGAACCTCTGCACAGTAGCCCTGTGTTACCTGATCATTTATGTGTCTTTTAAAGCGTTTTTTATCGGATGAGAGCAGAAGATATTGATTTTTTTAACTGGCAACAGACCATCTGGATAGACAGTAGACTAATGGAGCTGCTCAGTCCACTGTGGAAGATTGGTTAGAGCCCCAAAACGACCTCCAAATTGTGTGCTGACCTTGTGGATGCAGCCTCAGAGCTCATCTCATCACGCTTAAGTTGATAGATGGTGCAGCTAAAGACGGCTGACGACAGCCGAATCCCCCGCTGCACGAGTCCTGGAGGGTTTTTTGTTGTTGTTTTTCATTTTCCCTAACAAGCATGCCTTCCAGATTTAGCAAAAATCACACATGACTACTTTACTTATGATTATGATGATTTTTGGCAAAGAAATGCGAACAAATATACAACAACAGAAGCTTTTCATTCCAAATTCTGACATCCATCGTGCTACAGCGACAGTAACAAAGTGATGACAGACATTTTGTCACATAGTATCTATATGTTAAACAAAGACGAAGAAGTTTGCTTGGAGAGAGATCTTTGCCAATTAAAGCATTAATTAGCTTGATAAAATGAAAAGTCTACTTACTTTTTCTTTTACTATTTTATACAGCAAACAATTTAATTACACGTGTGTGAGAACAGACCCCAGTACCACCCATACCAGTTCATGAACAGCTATACAAATGGAAACAATTCTCTAAAAGAGGCTGAAAGCTGTGTAGAGGTTCAGAGTTGGGTGTTATTTCAGCAGTATAAGTGGGACAATGTTCATATTAAACCCGCATAATGTAACTTTAAACCTTAAGTCACAAAATCACTGGTCACCCAGTATGCTTTAGCCTCTTAGTCGACATCTAAATAAACTTTTATTTCTTAACATATGCAAAATGAAATCCTCACAGTGAACAGACTGCCTTATTAAACTCTGTTACAGCCAATGATACTGTACAAAAAACTAAATGTAATTAAATCTGAAGAGCTGCTCAGTCACTACTTAATAATTGCATTCATGTGTTGTTGAACTTTCCTCCTTGTGATGTACCCCTCCTTTTCACTTATCACTCCATCTCTTCTTACTCTTATCTCCTGGATTCAGTTTCTCAGGTGCTGCCTTAAAAGTCTTTAAAGCTGCAGATCTAACAAAAAGCTTTTTCTTTATGTCCGTGTGGATTAAAGTGTGTGTGTCTGTTTCTTAAGGGGGCTTTGTACTGGTCTAAGTGCTAGTTGCCTTTGTCTGTCTGTGGTTGTGGTTAATGTTTCTATTTATTTATCTTTTAGTAGAGTCAAATGCAAAAATTTATAAAACTGTGAAATATGTAGCAAAATAAAGTTTTATTAAGTGAAATGCTTTAACTGTTTGCCCTCGTGTTTGAATTTGACCTTTATTTATACAGGTCAGGCACATTGTAAGGGCAGACGAGGCAAGGGGAAAGGCAGCACATTTTAACTACAGACAGAAAGAAACGTTTCATCTTTACTCCGTCACCTGGACCAAGAACTGAACTCAGTCAAGGTAGGACAGAAATATTGATTTTTGTCTTAGAAATCATGACAATAGCAGGAGGTTTCATCAGATTTCCAGATGGCTGGATCATTTTTGAGATACTGTGGTTTCATAACTTCTCTGATTAAATGAAATATCCAAAACAATCAGTAAAGTTTTGATAATTTTGTATAGCTTTAAAAAAAACACTCCACATCAGGGTATCCACAAGGTCTTATAAAGTCTAAAATCCAATAATCTGAATTTCAGGCCTTAAAATGTCTTAAATATGAGAATTTAACCATTATGGAACCAATACCGATTTTCCTTCATGTGCTTTGTGCTTTTTTTGCCAGTATGAATGTAAAAATAGGTATTAAATTGCATTCATAATGGTCTCAAAAAGGTCTTTAGTATTAAATTTCCCCCGTTGAATTCTGCAGAAACACTCCACATTCTCAGTATAACGACTAAATAAACCTGATTGTAAATTGTGTAAATTGTATTTAAATTGGCAACCTAACACAACATAAGCACTTTTAATCGACTGTCATTAAACCTATTTTAGGATTTTTGTATCTACCTGTGGTTTCTTACCTTAATTGCCTTTTTTCAACATAATTTTGTTCAAGTATGTGTCACTTATTCAGGAGATGTCATTTTGAAATGAAAGTCATTTTACTCATTTAGTCAGTGCTCTTCTGCAGACCTCTGTGCAGTGAGGGATTTGAAATGATCTCATTTAGGAAGAAAACTTTTCTATTACCTGGCATGGACTCTACAGAAGCAATTAAAGTGACTGAACACCAGTGCAATTATACAGCATGACTGACGTCTCAGTTATTTAAATCTGGGAAAAAAGATCCACAGTAAGTTTCACTTCCACTGAAAAAGCACTAACTTCAGTGTTGCGGCGTCCCTCATTTCCTAGTGGGGTGTCACTTTTTTTTAAACTTGCGCTTTTCAGATGGGATCTGAGCCTCATGTGTTTGGACACTGAACAATTTACAGGACAACATGTCCGAGCAACAAGAGGACAAACAGAGGACAGATGATTATCGCGGCGCTCAGGGGCATCGTGGGTCTTGATCACTGGATTGTGAGAGTGAATCCTCCTCTCCACCAGCTGTAGGTCGAATCTTTTAGAAGAGATTATGTTAAGTGATGTCACAGTAATGCTTGATTCCTTTTTATGTTTCACACACACACACACACACACACACACACACACACACACACACACACACACACACACACACACACACATAAAGTTGTAAAATACCTTTCAGTTTTTTCTCTGACCTTCCCAGACATTGTCATACTTCTCTCATTTCCAGTCTTTGAAGTCACAACACCATTTTTAACAGCCGTTTGACTAAAGGATGTTGCTTTCAAGGTCTTTCTTATTATGAAGCATTCATTTATGTATTAATATGTACTTTGATATTTTTGAAATGGTTAATAAACCTTCATTTAAAAACTTTAATTAACAAAAACAAACTGCTTGCCACTGACTGTGAAATGAAAACACACACACACACACACACACACACACACACACACACACACACACACACACAGAAAGCCTTCAAACAAACCTGGATAACAGCACTTGAATGTTCAAGGGCACGTCTCTGCCTCCAGACCATGACGAACTCTGTATGGCCCGGTTTAATGAATGAGGCGGCTGTGATCAGAACAGTTCAAGTGTTTTAGTGAAATTGATGACTACACGAGAACCACAACCGCTTATTGAAGAACACGTGACCTTCACACTGCAGCTTGAAGAATCTACAGCATTTAGGTCATACCCGCTCTTTGCATTTCATTTTTTTAGAACTTATTTGAATTTTACCACCAGAGTGACATTAGACTTTCAAGACTTGGTTAACTAAAGGGAGTTAAGCCTAGGCACACAGGAGAATGTGCCAAAAGTCGGGTGAGAGTCCCAGTATTAATGGTAAATTATGTTTTGACCTATCATTAGGCCCTGCAGTAAGTATCAGCCTGTGGCGCCATAAATCTACTGACCCTACCTAACCCTGACTTCCCGTATTAAGCTGCCTCTAAATCCTTCACTCACCCCAGCAAAGAGCAGATACTGTGCAGATTGACCCGACCTTACTGTATATCTTCATTATATCCGCTTAGGCTGAAATATCCAGTAGTTAGCAACCCATATGGTATAAACAGTAGTTGATATGAGGGCATTTTCTTCTGGACCTCAGTTCTTCAAAAGGCTTACGTCTTGAAAAAGCTGTATGGTTAAGATTTGGTTTTGTGGGCAGTCTTACTGTAAAAAAAATAAGTTTTTGGTTGGGTACGTTAGGGGTTAAGAAATACATTATCTCAGTTTAAGCTTAAGACAAATGTGTGTGTATATGTATCTGTGTGCACAACATATGTATCTGTGTAGCAACATATGGTGGAACAGAACAGCACCAAGAAGAATCCGTTTCCCAGAATATATATATTTTACACACAAAGCTACATTCATACAAACATACGTACATACAGTCTTACATTCATACAAATACATATCAGTTTATTGGATTTTTTTCTTTTATTATAAAAAGCAATTTGATATATTATTACTTTGTATACTGTGTTATACTGGTAGGGCTAGGTCACTGTTAAAAAGCATGCACTTTCTGTTGGTTGTGTCCAGATCATGTGTTTGCAAATGACTCCAAGTGTGTGCCACAGGTCACTCTTGAGAATCAGATTGGACTGGGTTTACCTCATCAGAACATCTTAACAAGCTGTCAATCAAAGCAAAATACATCAATTAGCAAATCAAACTCTCTTGGACCAGCTACATTTTCCGTTGTGAGGCGCCTACTTCTGGTCCTAAACGCAACTCGAACCAAGCACTCAGAATTACTTGCAAATACTTTTTGACCCAAGTCTTGTTGTGTCCATGGTTGTTGTATTGCACTGTATTTTCAGCTGGCCCTTCCTCTCCTCTTCTTGTCCTACCTTCATCTACACTTTTTTTTTTATTATTTCACATCCATCCATTAGCCTACTGTTCAGCTTTTAGTCCTGGTTCTTTGGTCCGAGTGGTCCAAACTTCTTCTCACACAGCTTGTTTCAGCAGTCACTGAATTGAAGTCTCTTAAATTTTCATTTTGTGTTCATTGTCACATACATATTCCACATTTCCTGCTGTAACTTAGAGGGGGGCGGGAGGGGGGGGCTTCTTGGCATTTAGTTTGTGTACATTACATCCCACGTTTTCATCTGAAAAAGTTGCATTTCCTCGGACTCAAAGTGGGTAAATAGTGGGGAGGGGGTTGGGGTTGGGATAGAATAGCTTGATTGATTATTGAAGTATTTATTTCCTGTTTTTGTTTTTTTGGCCCTATAATTCAGTTGGTTGCAACAACAACAATAGAGCCCTCCTCCGCCTCTTCGTCCTTCTCCAGCAATTGGACAACGCAGGGCGTAACGTCAAACGGTTTCCTCTCCGCGACAGATTCGGCAATCTGTAATGGCAGTCCTGGGCTTGAGCCTCTAGTGGGGGGGACCTCCTCCCTCAGCGGGGACGGGGTGAAAGAGCATGGCTCCGGCTCCAAGGTTAATGTTACCTCTTCTACCTGTAAAGACAGGAAATTAAGCGTTAAAAAGACAGTTTGGGATGCTACAGTTGTGTTGTACCACAGGTAAATAAGGCTGTAATCTTTTACATGTTTTCCTCACTTATATAACTCTGTCTTCTTTCTTAATCGACTGCCTTCATTTTAATCAAATCTCATTGATGTATCAGTTTTTTAGTTTTGATTGATTTATGATCAAACTTTGGAGCAAAGATGTTGTAGAGGTAACTCACCTTTGTCAGCTCCTCCTCTTCCTCTTCATGCTGCTCAGGAATGTCTTCAGACTCTGGTTCAGGCTCCTCTCCAACTGTCTCCACTACACCTCCGACCATTTCAGTCATCTGTCCACTCAGCTGTCCGACAATGTCCACCTGTAACCAGTTTCTGATTTAATTGCTTGTCTTTTTTTGTTGCACTGGTTTTCAACAGGTTGCATTCTAATACATCAAGTCTTTTTCAGGTCATGGTCAATAGTCACAGAAAGACAAAGAAGACAGAAAGGAAGAAAAGAAGGAAGGAGAGAAGATGGACAAGCAGAATATGAGCTCCCCTGTCCCCACCACAGTTTGGTTTGCCTGTGCAGGACATCAGAGAGAAAAGACAGATACTTAGGTAGGTACAACAGACACAGATGCTGAATCCAAATGCTTAGAGTTGTAAACTTGCGGACTTTACAGCATGCTACTCTGAAGACCGGGCAGATTTAAGGAGGTTCCTTGTCAAAATTCATCAGGTCCATTTAAGGCTGTCATGCAGACTTTTGGCAGTGCTCCATGCAGATTTCCAGCCTGTCTCCTACCTTGCTGACTTCCCTGGCAGTTTCTCCCATCATTCACTGCACTACAGATGTGTGCTAAATATGCCTGCTGATATAAACAAAGCCAGATCCAGAAGACAGAAAGAAATTAGCCAAGATGTCAAACATGATGGAAAATGACCAAAATACCTGTGCAGAATATTAACATCAGCCTGATATTACTAGTGCACTTTATTTCACCTTTGAAGACACGTGCCTGAGAAACGGGATCAAAGAAGATAAACCTTAGCTTCCTACAATAACAAGAGAGTATTAAATGCATAATAAGACATGCTCTAATTGCTATGATGACTATTGTCTCTCTGTTGACTAAATGGACATGCTTGTCCAGTTTGCCTGTGACTGTATATACAGTCACGCACCCCTGTGCCCTTGCAAACTCTCATAGCTGTCACAGTATATTAAGCTATCATCTAGTCCGCAAAGTCTGTAATCTGACCATTTGGATTCAGCAGGCAAGTGCCTACGTGGTGTGCCTCAACCTGCGCAGCTCCCCACAGGTCAGCTAGCCGAGGGTGGGTGGGAGGACCGAGACTGTGGATGGTGCTGTTGGGAGTAGCTTGGAGGGAATGGGAGGCACTATGTGGCCTGGGCTCCATGGACTGTAGTCAGATAGGAAAGGAAAGAAAGAGAATTAATGAGGATTTACTGTAAAAAGCTTCATATACTTGCAAGGGGTTGATTTGGTTGTTGATCAATACCAATAACTCAACAGTTTCTTGATTTTAAAACTCTTTTTTCTTTCTCCACTCAGTACAGATTTAAAACGCTCCAAAGGCCCCCCCAGCTCCTGACATTTTCAGCTGCTCAATAATGGACAATGGTGCTATACTGACATATTGCATCACAACACATTTCAGCTAGGACGGTTTAAAAGCCTTGTCGTGCCAAAACAAAAGACGAAGCCTTTTTATTCTTCCAGCATTTAGCGGTCTTTGCCAGAGACTGGATACGTTTGCCAGCTTTTGTTCACTCCCTTCTGGTCACCGATGATGGTCTGCATCTACTTTCAATACCTCTTTAAATTATGACTGAATGGTGCTGCAGGAAACGGGGGAAATGTCTCAGGCTCTTATGCATTGACTGATGCTGAGTGACTGATTGAAAAGCTTTATTATAAATGTAATGTAATATATTCAATAGTCTCTTTCACAAGGGAAACCATATAATACACACAGTAAAGCTAACAAGCTCATTTCCATTGCGGTCTCGGATCAGTACACCTTTTCTAAGACACAGTCCCTGACCTTTTCAAGTTATTATTTCATAACCCTCAGTTATTTAATGAGCTCTGAGATGTACCAATGCAAGAGCAGCCAACAAAACTGAAAAAGTCTTTTGGTGTCACAGTTCATCATGACTCACTTCATTTGCAGAAAACCTCCCTGCAGCCTGAGAGCTGGAAGTCAGCAGCTCAGTTACACCAACAGAAGCCACACAGTCCGCACATCCAACCGGTTTAAAGGAAAATGATGTTTGTTATGTTGATAACAAAACAGGAGTCTACAGCCGCACAAGCAGCTCTGAAAGGCTGCACCTAGGCACAGCTAAATGCTAATGTGATGGTTACTATATTTAACATCTTAGTTTAGCATGTTAGCCCACTGACATCAGATGATTAGCACTACTAGAAGTCTAGCTGAGAACCGTGCATATGTGTGCAACAATATGCACCAAGTGGAAACATATTTCATTAGATTGAATCTGTGAACTGATGGTGGCGGCTAGATGAAAAGTTAAGAGATCACCAAAGTCATTATGATTCATTGTATCCAAACCACAAGGGCCGCCCAAAATATCATAGTATTCCATTTAATAGTTGTTGAGGTACTCAAATTTAGAGCAAAGTGGTGGGCTGACCCTCTGACAGATCTAAAAACAATAAATACATAATCCATGCAGCGTTTATTTCACAATGTACTAGCTGATGAAAATGTGCTATATAACAACATTTGAAAGCGCGTTGGGGTAGATATACTACTGACCTGTTAATGATTTTGCTCTTACTATGTGTGCACAGTACTAGTGACATGCTGTTACCTCTCCAGCAGCAGTTTGGTCAAATTTAGATTAAATTAGAGTCATTAGTAACACACTGCCTAAATGAACAGTCTTGTTTCTACTGACCTGTTGTTGGTACTGCAGAAGCTGTTGCTGCTGGTAGTGGTGAAGGTGCTGGAGCTGTTGGAGCTGGTTGTGCTGCTGCAAGGTGAAATGAGTCTGGTGCTGCTGAAGGTAACCGCCTACTGTCCCCTCATACCCCTCACCAGGTGTACCCCCTGCTCCACTGCTGCCACCTGGAATAACCATAATACACTTTACCACAGTACCTGATGCTCAGACACACAGTCAAATGTTTAGACTCAGTGTAGAGGAGAGTCCATCCTCACCAGTTGCCATGATGTAGGAGCCTGCAGCAGGAGAGGCCACGCCCGAGGGCTGGCTGGTGATTGGTTCCCAGGCATCTGAGGACGACAGGCAGTACAGGCCCTGTGAGACGTAGGTGTGAGGCCAGACATCCGCAGAGGAGTGGTGGAGCACCTGGTCTGTACGGGGAAAAGCAGACAGGTGGGAGGAGTGAGACACAGGAGAACTTAGTTCAAGAGAAAAAGAAAACAAAGAAAGTATGACAGAGATGGATAAAAATGTAATTTTAGCAATAAAGAGGAAGAAAGCAAATTTCACGTTGCAGATTTGTAGTAACAACAAGAGTCACAACCACAGATTCACACAAACATTGATTTTAACACCACTACCAAATCAAAAGGTGTGGTGGCAACAACTACATTAGAATACATTAAAATTCTGCAGAAGAGTTGCTCACTTTTAGATTCAATTTAAAGACTTTCTCATCATTTTCTTCTTTAGTGAAAATCAAGGATTTTAAAATGTCCATGTTTTTAGATGACACATGACATGAAGCCTGTACACAAATTAAAAGATTTGAGCAAATCATTTTATCCACATGCATCACAATGTTTTCCCCAGGATGTAAAATATGCCTGTAGGGACAGGTTTGAGACAAAAAACACGAGACACACAAAAGATAAGCAGATAAATAGAAGAGACTTAAATCCAAGCAGACCCTAAGCTGTTGATTTATTAGCAGCATAGTTTAGATGCTCTTATGAAGCTATACACAGGGAAAAATCTGACCTCATCCAAAAGCAACAAACTGTAATAACTTTAATAGGAGTATTATTATCCTTATTAGCCTATCTGTAGCAGCACTGTCATTAGTATAATTCATGGAGGGGAGCTGAACGCTCAAACTGAGAAACATCCCCTCGGTCTTAATGCTGATATGAAGTAGCTTTTTAATTGTTGCTGTGTTGGTGTGTGTGTGTGTGTTTACTGTGCGTGTGTGTTGGTGTTGCAGGCTAGATAAAGCACAGAGCATAGCACATATGGTGTTGTTAATGAGAGCAGGGATAAGTCCTTGTGCTAACCTACAGGGTCCCTCAGGGTTTGGACAGCGCTCTGCTGTGCTAAACACCAGCAAAGAACTAAAAGAGAAACAGTTTACCGTGTTAGTCTGTGTACATACACAAGTCCAGGTTTCAGTGGATTTTTTTCTTGTTTTTGAACAGAAACAGCCACAGAATTGTTTGTTTTGTTTAGATTTTCATGACGTTTTATGGCTGTTCCTGTGAGGTCGCCTAGGCAAATTGCTCTCTTCCCATCCTTTCTCTCCGTTTTATCATCCTATGTGCAACTAAACTAAACGGACATCTTACCACCTGAGGCTCAAACCACAAATCAGGATATGAGTTTGTCTCCCCAAACTGTTTTTGTTTCATTCAGCCAAGTTTAAAGTGAAATCCCCTTGACTTTACTTTCCATGCAGTCCCTTTTCTTATTTGAATACAACCCATCTTTGAGAGTTTGGCTAAATGTTCTTACCCAAGCACTCATGACTCTGCATCAGAATGTTTTTCTGATATTTCAGAAATGACAGGCTGTCATCTGGATTTGTCATTTGGACGTTTTTGACCAATTGCCTGGGAGCAGTGAAAGGCAGAAATGTGCAGCTGTGTGCCTGCCCTCTAAAAGTCCTTTACAGCTGGTCGGCGGAATAACTGACGTGGCTGTTTTTAGTTTCCAACAGGGCTCTAATTTTCCCAAACTGTGCATCTACGCATAATAGAGAAAATAGGCGTTTACTGTGTGGTCCAAATACAGGACTGAGTGTGAGGTGTGTTTAGAGCTATCCACTACAATGAGAATACAGTATCTGTAGTTATACTGTAACTGTATTAGTGGTTTAGGGAGATAGGCTTCAATGTGTTAAATGAATACAACTACACAAATGACATATCCCCCTCCCGTATATTATATAACCTCTGACTGTAGGTTTATGACAGTTCCAGATCCTTGCAATGCTTCCACACTATGTGCCATCAAGGCCAGGTCGTCATTGTAAATAAGAATTGATTCTCAGTTGACTTATCTGGTTAAATAAAGGTAAAAGAAAATAAAAATACAATATTCAAACCAAATACTGCAGCAGTTTACAACTAGAAGCACTCAGAGCTGAGCCCATGCAGCCATTTGCAGAAAGGTTTAAATTGCAGTACCTCTGCTGGTGATGCTCTCCTGGTTGACCTCACTGAGATGAGCGACGCTGCCCTGGTTGGAGCCGGCTCCCATACTCTCCCCATCCATCGAGTTCCAGCCAAACAGAGTCGCCTCAGAGATTGCAAACTGCTGCATGATGCCTAAAGAAGGGAGTGAGATTAGTGTCGATGCTCGCTAATGATTTAGGAACAGCAACATGTAATAATGATCTTTTAACTCACAGAAACATAATTAGAAATGCATAAAACAAATCCCAGTCCCAGCTTCACTAACACATACAGAAGTTAATTAGTAATAAAAACAAACAGGATCAATAGTCATGGTGGGGGGGTGGAGGGATGGAGGAGAATTCAAAGTGTCCATTCAAAGCGGGGAAATCTGTAAATGTTGTCGACAACAAAAACGTGTAAATATCTGTCAGATATTATTAATTCTAACTTTTTTTGTCATACCAGATGAGCCAGAAGCAATTAGATTTTCCAAACTTGAAGTGAAGAAAAATTGTGGGTAGCAAAAATTGATATTCAAGAAAAAGTGTTTGCCAAGGCAAGTCTTCCTTCTAATAAATCTTTCTGGACTTTAGGGGCAATCCTCAAAAGCATGGGGCAAAATGGGATTGTCAATATTTCACAATTATTGTGTTTGAACTTCATTTGTGCATTCTGAAATGTCAAATATGCTTTCAAACCATGCAGATAACTGGTCTAAAACACCTTTCTGACACCGTTGCACCTGTACATCCGGAAGTCCCTCACCTGCAGCAAAGCGAGCTTCCTTCTCGCCATCACTGAGGTCGCTGTAGGCGTCGTTTTCCATCCTCCTCTCCTTTTCCCTCTGCAGGTTGGTATGCCCTGCGCTCCCCATCGGCCCTGCAGATGGTTTGCCCCAGCTCTGCCACTCGATCATGTGGGCAACACGACCCTGGGCCATGGCAGTGGGTTTGGTCACTTTGTCCTTCATGGAGCGACTCACACCTACAACAGGTACGGGGGAGCAGCGAGGGCAGACCAGGAACACATGCAAACACAAAAACACAAACACACACACACACACACACACACACACACACAAACATTGTCAAAACTACGTCTGGCCTTTGCAGTTGCCGACAACTCCAACTGAGGCTCGGGGGGGGCAAGTAGAATGATAATGAGAAACTGTGTAATGTTGTAAGAAAAACTGTTTAATACGTGGAACTATAGGAAATAATGCCAGTGGGGTAACACATGTATAGTGTGGATGTAGTCAGAGAATGGGTATGAGGACATGGTAACGACCTTGCAGCTAAAGCTAAATATATTAAAATCAATTTAGTAGTAGCTTGTCTTGTGTGCTAATATCTTGTTTCTTTAAAAAATGATCTGCCCCGTATTCACACCTGCTCTGTACACCCTCAGTCTTTCTTGTTAACCATTGAGCCCTCCTCCTGGAGTAGTTGTGGGTTGAACTCCTAGCTCGAGAACACAAAAATCACTGCTGCTCTCAAACTTCCATCAGTGGAGCAAAGCCCCAGAATATCTACCTGCCACATCTACAGAACGCTCATCAAAACCTTTTAAATGTGTCGCTTTTCAATTATTACTCGCATGATAATCATCTAAATGAGACAGTCACCACTCACCATCTATTCATATCAAACACATCATTATCTACCCTTTTTAGATGATAATGATGTGACTGACTACGTTTACATGCACAACATATTCCAGTGTTTGCCTTTTTTTCAGAAAAAGACAGTATTCCTACTAAGTTGTTTACATAGCCGGGAAAATTAATATTCCAGTCATATTCCTGTTTACACACAACTTTGCATACTCTGGTTAACATAACTGTTAATAACGTACTGTACATCTTATGGAGGAATTTCCCTCCTTTTCCCTCTCTCATTTTCCTTGTCATCCTTTTGGTTTAGTTTGTGTACACACGCACAGAGCTGACCTTAAACACGCACCATGTGTGTAAAACGTCAAAAAATGAGACACATATTCCGAATGTGCTGTAAACAAAGAGAGCTCCTAAAACCTGAATAATTTATCCCACATGTCTTAATCTGAAAAATGCTACCTTTGGAATAAGGAATATCCAGACGGAATATGCGGTTTACACGACCCTTATCAAATGTGCGATATTATTGTATTCAGAAAGAGTGGAAAATGAGTGTGCATGAAAGCTCAGTCACTGATATGAATGAGCGGAGAATGATGTCGAGCACCCGTCAGACAAATGTCACATAGAGGTGACCTCGTAGAGCAGTGATTATACGTGTCGGATATTTTAGAACACAATCATTTTTGTAATAATAATAATAATGATGATGATTACAAGAAGGTCTGCGGCCTCCTTTTTGTGGGTTTTTTTTTCTTTTTGAGTTCAATATATTAAAAATTTCTGGAATCTAATCGACTAACAGTGTGAAATATTCAGTTAACTGTATGACTAAACATACTATGAGTATTTCTTGAGTAATCAAACAAAAGAACTGATGAATCTGCTACATAATACTGCTGAACTTTGCAAAACCTGCTAAATGTTTGGTCAGGCAATGGACAGGAGTGAACAGGTCAGAGGTCAGGTGACAGGAGCTGGCAAATTGGACAGAGTTGCCTGTGTACTCCTTAGAGTTTGTTGAACTGAAAAGAAAAGGACAAGGATGACGGCTGGAACGCTGACAAACCCGTATTAATAATTAAAGCCATTACTCATCTCCTGGTAAACAGAATAAATGAGATTCATTATACTTTGCGTAATTAAAAACGTGTTACAGAGACTGAGAGAGGCAGAGGAAAGTAATCCTCGGGTGTAAACAGAACGTTGAGAAGCGTCCACTGGCAAATCTCTGCCCAATTAAGATGCAAATACAGGATTCAAACTAGGGACATATACACTGAATCAAATGCTTGTAGAGAGGCTGATCGATAAAAAATTTAAATTAAAATCAAACAGGCATGAATAAACAGAGATGGAGCTTCAGAAAATTGCTCCCCCGGTTCAAGGGGCAACTTACAGGCTGAGTTATAAATAGAAACAGTTTTTCTCCTTAGACAAAGAGAGCCAATCTCATTTGAAAATCAAACACTCCCTGCAGAGTCTAATTGGGGATGGAAATAGGAATGAAAGAATGGGGATGAGGGATGAGGGAGGGTGTTGGGGTCTTGGCTATTCAAAGGCTATAATAATAAGGCTATACACTGTTAAATGATACCAACAGATTTATTAAGAAAAGTGCACCAGACACAACAAAAAACATTTTTTTTTTACACAAACACTGAGGTGCTACACTTAAACACTACAAAGCACAGAGCACTACAGTTTTGAAGCACAAAGCACGAGATAGCACATAAGAGGCACCGGCCACTTGAAGTCACGACACTGCACAAAAGAGTCACTACTTCACAAATATTGGGCCACACCGCCACCAGCACTGCCACATTACATATTTCCCAACACGCCTGTGGAGATGCTTCAGTAAGTAAATAAAGTAAGTAATCTCACTTACTTTAGTCTCTTTGAAATCAAAGATCTGATTGGATTTCCATCAATGACTCTGCGAAATGCGTCTGTCATTGACGTCTGTTGTTGATATCAATGGAAGAGAAGGGAAAGTAGGAAGTGAATAGGAAGGGGCACCCACAGGGGCGGCCATGTTGGTTCCAAGCTCCTCCTCCTCCTCCTCCTCCTCCTCCTCCTGTTCTAGAGTGAAGTTGTCTGTTGAGGCGAGGTTCGATTTACAAAATCCGCCACTTATGGCAAAAGTGAAAAGATCTTTCCTGTTTTTTCCAAGTGTGTCAGGTGATTTTTTTTTAGCCTGCAAGCAGTGCAGAAACCAAGTGAAAGAAGAAGCAGAATGGAGTTTTTATTTTATAAACTAATCACAAAGAAAGTTGCTCTGGATGCAAAAACTGTTTAATTAGTTGAGTAAAACCTAAGTGGATCCAAGTGTTAAAGGGGTTTAAACATCCCTGGTTTGAGTCTGACTAGAGAGCTTTGCTGTATGTCTCTCTCCACTTATTTTCTGTTAGCTTTCTAAAACAACAAAAAAACACTGCAGCCTAAGAATGAAGCCTAACCGACAACCGTGAATGGTATTGGACATGTGAATACATTTAAATACAATTTAAAATAACTTTTCATTCAAGTGTGACCAAAGCCTTCATGCTGTTGTAAAATGAGTTTCTTAATTAGCTTGTGCTTAATCAAATTGCTATAGACTATTTGGAGCTTGAACCCAGATCATTTGTGTGCCATTTATGGTTTATAGTTATTAGAGCTGTTGGCTCCGTGATATTAGCATCCTCCTCGCTTTAGGTGTCTTATTTTAATCAAGCTTCAGGCTACTGATGATTGGTAGAAAAGTCAAGGTTCTGCGTCGGTGGGGGCATGTTGCTTTGGTCACCAGTAAATATAAACCATGGGGGGATGATTAAGTAATTAATACACTTGAAGAAGGAATTTACCACTCAAAGTTCTTCTGTCTAGACAATTGAGATGTAAATAGTCAAACTACTGTCTTTATGTTAGTAATCTACCGGGCATGTGCTCTAGTATGTATTTAAAAGGCCATCACAGTGTATTTCTCCACAGTGTTGCAGCAAAATTTGCCCAAATTACATGTTTTTTGCTGGACAACTTCTTTAACTCCATTCTGCAAAGTGGAATGAGTGGTTTGTTTGCCGAGTAACATAATGAAGCTAAGGCTAAATGGAATAGTAACCCTTGACAGAATTTCAATCATGATCAGTACTAATGAGTTGAGAAACCTTTTAGTTGGTTTATATGCCCCATTTACTCTCATTCATACTGTAGCAGCTCTAGTAAAAGTGTGTTGTTGATTCCGTTTGGTGATAATCGCAAAACCAAACCTCACATTGATCATTTGGCTGCTGCACTGCTCTGGCACCAAATAACCATCTGAATATCACACGAAAAGAAACCAAAAATGATCTTTTTACACAACAGGGAACAGGAAGTTTAGCCCCTGTCCGTTCTCAACAACAACTTCACCCTCGACCCTCTGGGGAGCACGTGGAGGCAACATGGGGGCTGTTTTACCATCTAGCAGCACAGACACACACCTGACACACCTGTCAGAGAGGACTTAGCCAGGGCACCGATCCCATAGGAGTTGGCGGGCTTCCTCTTGAGACGAGGCAGAATGGAAGTAGTGTCCTCCATGGACAACTAAAGAGAGAGGGAGGGAGGAGAGGTGTGGACGAGAGAATGTAAGAGGAGGGAGAATGTCGATTAAAGGAAAAATGCAATGTGACAGGAAAAAAAAGACAAAATAAGATGAGAGAGAGGGATAAATGCAAGAAAGAGACAATGGAATGAAAGAAATTGAGGTGAAGAGAGCAGATGATTGAAGATTTGGAAAATAGTTTGAGGGAGATAGGAGAGAAGAGAAGTTGTCACAGAGGGAATAAGAAAGGAGGGTTAATTAACACCTTGTAAATGTCTTACAGGGATCATTGATTGAAAAGACGAGAATCATTGATTTACTGCAGCTAAAAGAAAAAATGGATACTTAAAGGGTGATTCAAAAGCAATTTAAATGGACAACAGAGAGTCTTTTTTTGAGAACAGCAGCTGGTAATTCGACACAAAATCATCATGAAAAACTTGATGATACGAAACAATCACTGATAAATCTTCTTTTCTTTTATACAGTACAAAGATTAGATGGGTGAATAGTGGAAACATCAGCCAGGGGACTTATTTATCTTCATCCAGGTACGTTATAGCAGAGAGATGTTATTATGATATTGAGATAATGTGTTGCTTGTTTTGCTTAACGTCTCTTCTTCAGGGCAGAGACGGAGGCTAAAACCTGTCTTCTCTAGCTCAACAGTGTCTCTTCTCCCTCGGTCTTCCTGTGAAATACATGAAATACATATACTCTGGTTTCACTTGAGTGAATGAAGCAACAAGTAGGCCCCCCTATAAACAACAAGTAGGCCCCCCTATAAACAACAAGTAAGCCCCCCAATATTCATCCCTGGTTCAAACAGCCTCAAAAGCTAGTGTGATATAATATTAGAATTGTGATATTAAAGGTTAAATTGACTCATTAAAAATATTGCACATGTTGTTCCTCTCCGGTGCTCAAGGAGAATCAGGACTATAGATACTCCATCAAGACACTAAGACATAGTGCACAGCACACCAACCTGAAATTGCTCATGCTTGTGTGAGTTCTACTGTACTTCCTGGCGCCAGTGCTCATGGCAAACCAACCAGCAAACTAATGAACACAGAGACAGAGCCCGGCTCTTAATGAGGTCCTCCCAACGGCTAATTACAGCGGGAAATAGTGGGGAAAACATGTGGACTCTGTTACACCGGGGGATTGTGTGATAGACGTGATGTAATATTTGGAGTTAAACTGCTTTAATTACTGTGTAAGGACAAACTGATATTATCTGTTCCCTCTGTGGTGTACAAGCAGAGTATCATCTAGGTGTTATCCTATCTGCAGTGCGTGTAGCAGTTAAATAAGGTGGTGTATTAACACAGCAGCCAGTAAGTCTGCAGGCGTACAGAGGTAGATGTTATAGCAATCCATGATCATAGATTTCCCCTCCATTATTCTCGTGTCCACTAGAGCCTGTTGATCCTCAAATGGAAACCAGAATTGAACACGCATTCTTTAACAAAAAATATCTTTCTCAAGTTCCCGTTCTGCTTTCCCATCTTGCACAGTCACACTAATGTTAAATATAAGCTGAATCTGAGTCTGACACTGGTGCCTAAATACATTAATAATAATAATGCATTAATAAAGATTCTTTGTATTGACATTACAAACCACATGTAAGGTAAAAGGGGTCACACATAGTTACATACCAACTCTGCAACCATAGTTTTGGTTGGCTCATTTAGTGCATGGTTCATTCTCTCAGCTCTCATCGAACACATTTCAAGCAGCAGAAAGCAGCGGTTTAAAGCAAACATGCTCTGATTATCCTACTTCCTGCCGAACCCCAAACAGAAGACAACGTTAATAACTAGCTGTTGGAGAACATAGAGTATCTAGGAGGTGGTGGACAGAGCTAAAAGGAGAGTGAATATTGGACTTACATTCATCAGGTGTCTGTTAGATGTCGAATATGAAATGTTACCAGAACACTCATTTATTCACCAAATAACAGCAGGAAGCTATGAATCAAAGTTTATTTCTCCATGTAAATAACAATAAGCAAGTGTGATAAAAGCATTTCTGCTAGCATTTCACCTTAACGAAGGATGCAAACTTGGTCCATCTGGCTAGGAAACAAACCACAATTACAAGAATTTGATGTCGACCTAAAAGTCAAACAATCCTCCCTTAAGGTCTTTGTGTAAAAGAGCGTTTCTCCAGACCCCTGTTACTTAAAACAGAAGTATGTCTACCTGAGATTATTTGCCTTCAAGTATGTTTGAGTGCAAATAAATTCTGCTGAAGGTACAGAAACAGCTCCGTTGCGATGCACTTCATCATGCAGTGCTTTCAGTAAAAACCGGAACTTGTAAGAAGTCTTCAGCTGTGGATGAGATAAGCTTATTACAGCCTGTTATCTGTGACTCTGTATATATATGAAGCTTGCAGTACAGTAGATTAGCAGAGGGCCAAGAGAGGAGACGGATGCGAGGGAGAGTTTATGGGGAGAAAAAGAAAAAACTGAGGGATAAGAGAGAGGGAGTGGGAGAGAGAGATAAGAGAGAGAAAGTGACAGGAAGAGCCAGGAAGGGGCGGAAGGGTAAACAAGCAGGATGTCAACTTATGTACTCAAAGCCCAAACTCAGGTAGTTGGTGAGCGATGGAGGGGGAAATGACAAGAGATTTGGGGAGAGAAAAGGAGATTGAAACAAAGAGACTTACATTGATTCCTTCCCAGGAAAACTCGGCACGGCCATGCTGGGGAAGGGAGGACAGGGGAGGAAGGAGAGGGGAGGGAGGAGGGGAGGAGAAAAGTACAGGTATAGCAAAGGCGGGAAGAGAAGAAGGAGATTTGAAAGAGGGAAGAGGAGTTTTGGGACATAGAAACTGGTCTCAAGCCTTAGTCCTGAATTCAAGTAATTTGAATTGGATATTAAGTTGTTGTTAAGCAGTTTCCTACTACAGTTCTGTGTGGAGCTTAAGATTTCAGTCAGTTTAGAAAGTTTACTTCTAAACTGTCTGTAAGTCTGTAATAGATCTAAATGTTTTGTTTTTTTATCTGGAACTACTTTATATTTTAGGTGAATGTGGTCTTTTGAGTCTTGAAGTTTAAACTTCAAGCTCCCTGCATGTGTTTCTTATCGTTTTAGTTCAATTCTGTAGTTTTATAATACGTGACATCAGTTGTACTATTTAAACTATAGCATGTAGTGTGTGTGTGTGTGTGTGTGTGTGTGTGTGTGTGTGTGTGTGTGTGTGTAAAAATAAAATGCAGCAGCCTAATCTCACAAGATTTAACAGTGAAAGAGCTTTAATGTTAATGGGTGGACGTGTGGAAAGGGAGACAGAGGACATGAGGAGCAGTAGGTGGAATAGGACAGGAATTATAGAAAGTGTGTAAATGTGTGTAATACTTGTGTGTGTGTGTGTGTGTGTGTGTGTGTGTGTGTGTGTGTGTGTGTGTGTGTGTGTGTTGTCAGCTGCACCATCCCTTTGTCCATCTACACTGCTCAGAATGTTTAGGTAACCAATGGATACCATTCAGCCGTGAACCCGTTGCCGGGGGCAACAACAAATCCGATGGGTGGCCAAACCTGGACACCATTTATTGTGTGTTCTCATACACATGCACGTACATACACAGCATGCATGCGCGCACACACACACACACACACACACACACACACAGGCAATCATGCATATTCATCATACTGTACAATAGACACAAAGACAGGGTGAGGGGAACATTTTGGGAACTGTGGTTGCTCCAGAGAGAAATTAAATACATACACAAAATGTTTTTTTATTCTTATTTTTTAACATCAGGCCCTTTGTCTAACAGCTTGTTATCATAGTTGTACCATTCAAAGCCACAGATCACAGATTGCATGAGAGGTGGAACTGAAATGACCTAAACTTTATGTCAAAGTAAATGTCAAACTTTACCTCCTGTCCCTACGATGCTGCTGCTGCTACAGAGCTGACTCAAATAGATTTAAATTTATGGTCATGTGAAATGTAAATTGCATGATCTTTAATCTTTAAAACTTTCCGTTTCCTTGTGCATTAACAGCCCAGTCTTAGTGAGGACATCTCATATAGCGAACCTTTTGATACAGAAGCCTCCTACAATATAATGTAGATTCAATCTGAACAGGGTACATCGAGTTACTTTTGAGACAGATTTGACTTTGATGCTTTGGCCTTCATTTTATGGGACATGCAAGAATGACAAGAATGTACTTTATCTTATTTTGACCTGTATATTAGCATTTATTGGGCACTTATTTACGGGAACAATAGGAACAACCTAACTGAAAGTGTGATTGTTGTTTTTCTATATTCTCTATACGTATGAAAAAAAAAATAATATTAACAGAAGTGGTTCTGGTGTCCCATACACTCACTAATAGACTAATGGATGAAGGGAAAAAACACATTTTAAAGAGAATAAGCCTTCATCTGTGGATAGGGTGTGGCCTAAAAATCTAATTCCATGCACTCTAGTGGATGGTTAGCAATAAAAAGCTTTCTGGGCTTTTACACCAACCATATCAGCACACTGGCCTGTCTCAGGATGTCTTGTCTTAAAACTGAAGCTACACAGGGTTAACTGCTGGAACTTCACCAAAAAGACCTTTATTATACATCAGTAAGCTGCCAACGGCACATTTAACCAGCCCAACTGGTCTACAGTGTTTTATACCAAAGGGAAGAGATAGGAAAAACATACAACAGTGATTCTTGTGATTCTGGCTTTTGCAATGGACTTCTAGCTCTTTTAATTCCGATGCTTTGATTTGTTCATTTCGTTCCAACCGTAATAACACATTTATTACACAGACATTGAAGCAACAGCATTCCTTTGTGGAGGAAGATGTTCCTCTCTTATTGCAGCTTCAATTGTGTGATTTTAAATAAATAAGAAGTA